CCTGTACTTCACATTTCTGTTTGTTATTCGAGGATTTTCATGTGGGAAATTGGGGACTTTGCTTCGTCAGGCCTCGCTCTCAAACAACACTTGAGACCGACAAACAAACAAACAGACGGCACCAAAAATAACAAAGCTTGTGGGCAGACAACATGACGGTCGGACGGAGAGCCAGAGGCACCAATCAGATCCCCCCCCCTGCTCCTCCCCCCGCCTCCCCTTTGTCCTGAGAGAATCTCTCCATGAGCGCCGGGGCCGTCCGCGAGCACGAGAGATGCTGACTCACCGCGGGAAGAATGACGACCAGACGGCGGTCGCGGGTCTGTTTGCCAACACAACCTGCGCACTTCTGGCCGATGGGATCCGTTGGGAACGGCACGCGATGCGGTCAACGCGCGTTACGGTCACATTGCGGTGGCTGCTGGCGAGCCCGGCTGCGAGCAAACACTGCGGGGGATTGTTCAAAGCGTCGGCCGGTCCTCATGATTAGACCAGTCCGCTGGGGCCGGGGTCGATGTTTGGCCCCTTCTGTCCATTCAGAGGGGTCTGGAGGGGGACCTTTGATGAAATCTAGTGTTTGTGTAATGTTGGGAAGCACGGAGCGAAATGGTGCGAGTGTGTTGGTGTCGTGAGGGGGCCGGGGGGGGCTGATGATCTGTCTAAATGGGTCCCTTTGTGCCCCCTAAACCCATCACACACTCTCCCTTCTCTCACACACACACACACACACAAACAGAGGTGCCAATCACTGCCACATGTGAGTCACCTTTGAGCTCAGACCTGCATGTGATCTGAGGCATAAACGCCTTATTTAGGAGCCGGCCGTGCGGCAGTTAGATGGCTTCCCGTATTCGTGGGGCTGTAGAGTTTGTCATGTTTTTGAAGGTGCAGAAATAAGATTCTTCTTGTTTTTTTTTCAAACCAGATGTTTCTCTCAGGTATACAATTACCTCATTCCCTTTTATTTAATAGTACAGAGCAGAGACTGGGTGAGTGAGATGAGGCTTGGCTCGCGTTAGATCTGCAACTGATAAATGTTAGTGTTTCCCATAAACTTGAGGAGCTTCTTTATTAATTATTCCTGAATGAATGGGATATCGGATTTCAGATACAGGGAAAAATGTCCATCACAATTTTCCTGCGATGAAAGTGTCTAAAGTGGCTAAATCAAAAATCCTTTCAAGTCATTTCTATAATTATAAAATTCAACTTTTTCTTCTAATTTCAGTTTCAATTGTATGCTATTGTTAAGACTTTCAATGGAATCTTACCTTGTTGATTTCATGCCTATTGTAAAATCTGTATATTTGTATTTGTCAACTCGTATTGTCGACTTGTTTTTACAGCAATCAGTTTTTCTATTTTATATGTGATTTTAATATCACATTAATCTGATATTGATTTTAACACAAGGAAATCTACATTTGCTGTTGCATTTTTTATAGCAAAATACACACAATATTCATCCCAATTTCCCAAAAAATATTTTGAGCTGTATATCATATTTTGTTTGCTGTAGATGCTCTTCCATTCAGGCCAGTTAGTATTCACGTTGTGCTGGGAACAAGCTTGTGTAACGGGTCAGACGGTTTCCCAGTAAATAAAAAAGACTGTTCGATGCATCAGAATGTGAGACTCAAACACAAAGCGATCGACAACAATAGTTGTGATTATGAAATGGTTTTCCAATATTTTCCTTTTTTGCGCTGATTGTCTCAACTGTAAAACGTGACAAAGGTGACAAAAGCAGTAAACTTTTCTCTGAGCTTTAATAGAGAGTCTTCCGTGTGTGTCTGCACGCCCCAGCACAATGCTAAGGAAGGGACGTGGAAGGTCCCAAGCCTCAGACTTCCACAGATTAGAGCTACTCAGCCTCCAGTGAAAACAAACCTGCCTCTTTATCCCGATCCAGAGGCTGCAGAGGCTCGCAGCATCATGCACGAGAAGACAAATCGAGTGAGAGAACATGTGTTGTCGTTGATTAAATGTAGCGATCACAGTCTTAACGCAACACACGTTGGAAGAAGGTTAGCTTTATGGCTGTGGGGATCTTCTAATGCCACCTACAGGTCGATGCGTTAGTTCCTCCTGCCGCCGACCTCGCAGGTTTCCAGTTGATGCTCTTCTTTTGTTTTCCTCTCCATGCTTCTTTGAGGAAAAACTCACTCAGTTTGTCCCCCGGTCTGTAAGTTTACAATGTATTTGTGGTGGTGTGTGACATTCAACTTGTGCAAGAGTCCGCTCCATTTGTGTGTGTGTGTGTGTGTGTGTGTGTGTGTGTACGTACGCTGGCGTTGGGAGAGGGTTCTGGGGCAGTGTTCCCGTGTCCATGCACAGCCCCCAGAGTAAAGTAAACCACAGCGGCTCTTTTCTCATCCCAGCCATCAGCAGGCTCTCCACGGGCCCGCGCCAGAGACCACACCTCCAGTCCACACACACACACACACACACACACACACACACACTACCCAGACCTCTCCGCAGATCCTTCCACGTACTCGCAGATACACACAGACCACACAACACCAGCTCGGGCCCCTCGCACGCAACCTTGCTGAGATGTCATTCTGGCCTGCGAGTGTGTGTGTGTGTGTGTTTGTGCACGTGTATTTCTTAGATGAGGGGGAGTGGGGTCGGAGGGGGTAATCTAGAAACACTCGTTGAAGCCAAATCCGAATAGTACGAAGTAAAGATCTGCAGACCCGTAAGGTGATGAGGGGTGTAGCGAGGTCTTGTTCTGGGCCCGTTGACCTCTTATCTCCTTCGTGTCAGACCCTTAGCCCCTCCATTTCCTCCGACAAGCTCGTGCAGAAAGCACCAACATGGGTTAAATCCCGTTGGAGCTTTCTCGTTAACTCTGGGATGTCAAGGCGGCGGAGGGGGGAGGGTGGACATGGGGTGGGGGGGGGGGGGTCTGTGGCAGAGTTTTTTTCTCTGAACGGCTCCGACTCCAGGACGTTTCTAGGTCAACGCGTGTGCTGCTGTCCCACTCCAAGCTTTTAATGCTACTGTGTTGTGCCCAACTTTTCTCTACTTATTTTCCTACCATTTAAAAATACATTTTACTTATTGCCATGAGCCAAATATCATGTTTTAGCAGCTGGCATGATTTGTTGGCTCGTGGGCACTTGTGGGCACCGTGTTAACAAGGTTTTCATTATATATTGTGTAACAATTTCACTTTTAACTGATTTCTCTAAATGAATAGATGAGAAATAATAATTCGAGGTTCACAAAATGCAGACCCCAATTAAAGTAATTGTGGCCACATGTATTTTATATTAAGGTATACCTGCCATTAGCTTTTTTTAAATGCAGGTTTTAATAAAAATTTATAAAAATACAATTTTACTCTACCGTGATTGTACTGTTCAGGTTATTTCTCAAACGTGTGAAGTCAATGACATTAATTTTAACATTACAGAAGTCCCAGCTAAACTTTCCTGGCTGCATTAGATTAAGACTCTTTTTTTGACACTTTTTAGAAAATATATATAGATGGTGTGTATTTACAGTCCAGTACAATAACACCACAGACTCAATGCCAAACAGTTTGCATGTGGCCCTGCAGTTTAAAGTCAGCGAGCGTCTCAGATTGCAAAATAGCATCATAGTGCAATTCTCTGAAGATTGTTTTCATTATCCATTGAGGAATGACTTCATAGTTTAATTAATCATTTAGTCTACCAATTGTCAGAAAATAGTGAAAGAGGTCCATTAGCTCAGAGTGACGTCCTCAAATGTATTACTTTTTCCAACTTTACGGTAAAACTCACTACTGACTCCACTACCAAATAGTTACAACAGTTAAACAATAAATAAAAGCAGAACATCCCTGCAGATAAGATGACTCCTATAAAATCGAATAATTGTTTCATGGTCACATCGGAAGTTGGTCATGCAACAAACATAATTATAAAATATTTATATATATTACTAAAATGACTAATAAATATCTAGACTAATTGTTGAAGTTGTTTTTTTAAGCCATAACATTAATTCCCATATCTCACCTGTTCTGCTTTTCATATTTGAAACCAAAATACGTTGACGTTTAGACTCTCATGCTTCACCAAATAAACAATTTGAAGGTCTCCCCAGCAGGTAGACGAGTCAATGTTGTGCCCTTTGGGTCTTATTCCCTTTGACCTCTGTGCCCCTATTGGCACTTGGAAGTCGTCCGGCGCCTCCGTCATGCATTTGACGAGTGACCGGATGAGCGTACACGTTTTCAGGTCCACTCCGTGTGAACTCCTGCATTGTTTATAGACAACGTGTTTTGGCTCCGGAGCGAGAGCGCGGATGCTTCGTCTAAACTGAGAGTCCGGACCGGTCTCCACCCCCTCCCCCCCCGCTTTTGAGACCTGGCAGTAATTTATTAGCAAACATCTGTGCTGCTGAAATACATCCTTTTGAGTCTTTTCTCTTGGAATCGCTGTCGTGAACTGATTTGCACGGGTGCGTCTTCGTTGGTACCATAATCTCCACTGCATTGTGTGGGCTTATGCAGAATGATTGGGGAGGCCAGGTTTATTTATCCTTCGCCGTGAGGTTTACATTCTTCCTTTCCTTCCAGCTCCTCTGTCTGCTCCTTCATTCTTGGCTCCCTTCTCTATTTTTCCTATTATCTGAGAGATAACTGCTGCAGTGCACACATTGTGCAGAGACCTATGGGCGGGACAATTGACTTTTTAAGACCTGGAGGGTCTTGGAGGTGTGTTGTTTGGTTGGTTGTTTGACAATCCTCAGTCAATTTTTACAGCAATGTTTAGGCTATTCTAGATATTAATATGCTTCCAGACTTCCAACTAATGGTTAAATACACAATGTATTGTAAATAATTATTCATAATGGACTATATGCCAATGAGATGTTGTTTAAGTGTGTGGAGTTTCTTTTGAGTTGTGCGTTACTCACCAAACCCCCCCCCCTTTCCCCCCGTCTGCTTTTCCAGGTCCAGGTGCTGATCTACCAGGTGTTGCTGTCAGCCTCAGTCCGCCATGTCTCGTGCCCGTCAGCCCCCGCTGGTCACGGGCATCTCGCCCAAGGAGGGCGCGGCTTGGACCAAAGTCACCATCCGCGGAGAAAACCTGGGCACGGGCCCAGCCGACCTCGTCGGTAACGCACTAATAAACAACAACACCAACCTCACGCGCACCTCCGTCTCGGTGAAGTGCTGAAGCCTCCATGTTTGATTATTCCAAACATTTTTTAGTGCTTTTGCCTACTCATGAATGCTTTTATATTTCTTTCTTTACCATCCTCCCGTTGAAATTTTTCTTAATAAAAAAGTGTATGCAGGAATGTAGATAAACACCTGAAGATAGAAACATCTAAATACTGCATATCTAAGTCATCAGGCAGATAACATGTCAATACATAATGACGTTTCATCTTAATTTTTTCCGTGCTTATTTTGTTCCAAGAGAGGAACACTGAATATAGTAGCTTTATTTTTGTCATCATTGCTTCTATAGGTATTCAGAATATTTGTAACGTGAGTCGCATTAACTGATTTTATTAACTTATCCGTCAACAAACCACAGCGGCCCTTTTTTAAACAGGGTGGTGTAACGTTTATTTTTGTTTATATGATACGTAAATGGTCAGGACGCCTGATTCCGTCTGTCCTCTGGAGGAAGAATTTCATCACTTTTTCACTATTTAGCTTTAATGTTCATAAGAATTTAACAAGCTGACTCAAAAGACCAAAGCTTAACCTAAAAATATAAATAAAATATTCATAACATAATTTGTGAATTCTTTGTGCATATTGAAAATATTTGATTTGAGTTGTTAAAGGGTTCAGCAAAAAATAAAAAGTCCCATTAGTGGTACCAAACAAAAATGTAATATTCAGATATTATATTGTAATATAATTCCATTTAGCTTTTTCGGTGACAGTTTTGCCAACTCTCTATGCAGCAACATTTTAGTTTTTGTAAATATTTAGGTGCTCTATGCCTAGTTTGAGAAACTCGAGAGATTATCAACATGCAGTTGTTGTTGTGTCCTTTCTCTTTTTTTCTTTTCATGAGCCACTCGGGTGGATTACCTCCATCTTGTTCTCGTTATGTTTTTCAACGTCAACCGTTTTCTGTGCCGATATTTTCCCTAATCTTCGCCAGGGAGCAGAGGTGGGGAGAGGGAGAGAGGGGGGCGGTCCAGAGGACTCCATGCCCAGCAATACCGGTCCATTTCTGGCCATGAGTGCCCCCGGGGTCCTGGAATTACACAATTAGTTATGCACAAATGTCTGCAAGAGCTTATGTATTAAAACAAAGGGGCCCGCAGAGCACGAGGCAGGAAATGGCACTCCAATTGTCATATTATTCACTATTCTATGGGCTTTGTTAATCAGCTTTCACAGGCTCGTAATCATGTCAAATTACACACACATTAAGTTTTTAGTATCTCCTCGGCTGGAGGTGTCTGTAGTAATCCGCCCCGTCCGTCCCAAAGAGCTTTCAAGAGGGTTTAAAAAGAGGACGACAGATGTAAGGGCAGAGTGCACATTGTGCCAGTAATGGGCCACTTAGCGCTGAAGTGACACACGTTAACTTAAGAGAGCTGAGTGAGAGGAAGGGAGGTCACGGCCACCCGCACCCGTCGTGACCCCAACTTGAACTTTGACCCCGTCGGTGACAGTTTGACTAAACGCGCTGATAGACGGCAAATCTGTGTGAGCGCGCTCCTCTTGTTCCAGATTGTCTGTGTGTGTGTGTGTGTGTGTGTGTGTGTGTGTCGGTGCTCCATGCTGTTTATTTGTGCTGTCTCACCTATTTCCCCCCTCCCCTCCCGCCCCGCGCCCCTCTGGTCCCTCTCAGGTCTGTCGATCTGCGGCCATAACTGCCTGCTGACAGCCGAGTGGATGTCAGCCAGCAAGATAGTGTGCCGCGTGGGTCCTGCCAAAGACGACAAGGGGGAGATCATTGTCAATACGAAGTCCGGTGGTCTCGGCACCTCCACCGTCTCATTCAAACTGATCCGACCGGAGAGGATCGGTAAGACCCCCCTAACTAGACATCGGCTCGGTAGTTTTTGGGGTTCTATTTTATAATTGGATAAACTGTTTAGTCTATTAACAGGTCAGAAAAATAATGAAAGTGCATTTCAAAAGTTCCCAGTAGATCTTCAGATTCAAGGAGCTGTAACTAGCATTTTGACGTGATAAACAATTAGGAAAAAAACAATTATTTAGCTGATAAGGTTTATTATTGTATGGTTTGTTCCAGTGGGCTTTACAATCTGTGTGACACCTTCTCTGCTTGCAACCCCAATTCGGAAAAGGGTTTTTGTCTTTCAAAAATCTTATCAGGATTTAGAAAAATAAGTCAGAACCCACAGGAAGAGCAACAGCAGAGGAACCCTAAAGGGCACTCAGGTTTTCTGAAAGAACACATTGAATTAGACTAAACACAAGCTCATAAAAAAGTGTATTGTTCAAGCCCTTGGCAACACATATTTGCACTGACAAAACATGCTGGAAATGGATGAAACACAAAGCGAAAACCAGATGAACCTAACTAGTCGTGTAACTATAATTGTTGATTTAAATATTAACATCATTCCAATTTTACTTTAAATAGTGATTACACAAAGCATTAGACACAGTGACCTGTGTGGCCCCAAACTTCAATCATTCGCGAATGTGTTTCTAATATTTGCTTGTTTTATTTATTTCAAGGTTCTCCTAAATGCAATACGTGCGTTGTCGAAATGAGAAGAGATGTCATCTTCATTTACTTCTGTTTCGCCTGTGTGCATTTAGTTCCTAAAGTGCGTTGAGGTTCCTCTGCGACTTTAGACGACCTCCAGTGCAAACCCCAAACGTGCACAGAGAGGAGTCCACAAGAACTGCATTGCTTTAATCACAAAAGGGAGAAACAAAGTTGAAACATTGACTAGAAATATGGGGCTTTGCAGAACTATTTGTGTTTGATCGAGTGTAGTCTGTGTGTGTGTGTTTGTGCACTCCTGTGATGTGGTGTGATGTCTCTCCCCTCCCGTCCCGCCCTGTCCTGCAGGTATCCTGGACCAGTCCGCCGTGTGGGTGGATGAGATGAACTACTACGACATGAGGACCGACCGCAACAAAGGCATCTCCCCCCTCTCTCTGCGACCCAGCAATCCACTGGGCATCGACATAGACAAGTACAGCCGGAGAGCACGCGAACGCACGCACTCAAAGCCGGCACAATCACACCGCTGTAAACACACGCTCGAGTCATTGAGTCATGGTTTACATCCCTAAACAGAAACAAACTCTCCCCATATGCAGGCGTTTGAAATATTATGCCGACACAGCAATGGCTGAGCGTCCTCTAAACCGCCGCTCACAGGGAGTGGAAACAGAATAATTGTGTATAAAGCAGAGAGCACAGCGATTTGAAAGGGATTTGGAAAGAACCAAGGCAGCGACCCACACACGTGTTTTGTGTACGGCCGGAGCAGGCGGCACAGCGCCGCCTCCCACTCGCCGGACAGGGAATGCAGTGGTTGTAGTGCATTAGTTTGCTGTGTCGGGTTCTGGCATTTCTGGGTTAGCGTTTGTTTGGTTAAGAGGGGCCGGGGGCAAGTGACCGCTCGTGGCCAGAGAGGAGACCCCCATAGTCAGCCTGTAGCGTTTCACCCGCCTCCCGGGGTCGCTTCGAAACGTCTGCCATAAAAAAAGCCCACACGCTTCTCCTTGACAGCAACGTGTTTATCTGATACGGGGAGAGTTGTAGCGTCAAAATACTCTGAAACATATTTAAGCGGAGGAGATGTTTTCTTTAGCAAGAGTGCTTCACTCTTCTGCGCATCTTTGTACGGCTGTAGATGTTCCCACCGGCTGTCTGCGAAGTTCTACTTGGCCTCAATATGATGTAAGCGGGCAGAGAGGGGAGATTGAAAAGTCACCACGTTAAAAAAAGGCTTGTATCATGAAAGCTGGTTATAGCTCAGTATTCAATAAAAGCATCTTTGCAATTACTTTTACAATATTGCTGCAGTCACTTCTATTGTGAATGATGTGTAACTAGCAGTTGATGACTAAGGGCTTTTCTATTTAGGGCAGTCCTCACGTTTTCACAGCACAACTCACTCATAAGTAAAACACAGTTGGAGGTCACCGGAAACACGGGGAAGCTTTCATGTTTTATGAGGTAAATATGACCAATCCAGGACTGAAGAGCAATCTCCCTCATCTGGTCATTTGGTCCACATTCCACAGTCAGAGGAAAGAACTGAGAACCCGTCAGCTGTGATTGTTCCGCAGACTGAACACTACGGTCCTCTTTTCAAATGCAGTCACTAACACTTAATTTCACCCCGTGGAAATAAATGGGAGTATAAATGTCATGCATTACACATCTGCAGCTTGGAATTTCTCTGCTTGCAGTCAAGATATTTATACGTCACGAATTGTATGTTTTTATGTGTTTCACAGACCTCAAACCGTAATGCTGTATTGCCTATGTGACGTCTTTTCTACGTGCGTGTGTGTGTGCGCGCATAGCCGCACAGTGGGTGGTGGTGGGGGGGGGGTTAGGTTTGTGTAGGCCACGGGTCATTAGCAGAGATCAAGCTTCCCTAATGAGTGCAGGGTCCTCCAGGGGCACCCAGGCACTTCCCACGCCGAGGTCTCCCAGCCCGGGTACTTTTTGGCTGCATACTGCCCCCTGCTGGACAGACTCGCCCAACTTCACATATTTGATCCCACCATTTAAACAATTGCAGCGTATTCTCACTTATAATTTGTCATTACTATGTTTCTACATTTATTTGTCTTATACTTTTTATCCTCTTTGTTTTTGAGTGATTATACTGCACACTTTCTCTTGTAGACGTTTTATTACAGATGTAGATGTTCTTGCCTTACGTCCGCGCTCATCTTTGTTTACCGGTCTTTTCAGAGGGAAGCTCCCACAGAAAGACATAGAGCTGACATTTCCAGGAATGAGTGGAGACTTCACCAGTGAGAACTTCTCCGCCACCTGGTACCTCATAGAAAACCACATGGGCTCCAGGTAGGTCCTTTTATTGATCACCAGCCCACCGCTGCCGTCCCTCATTTCTCTCAAACTGACTTACTTTGGCCAAAGCTCTCTGGAATGCAACATCCGTTTTTAATGAAGTAACAAGTCAAGATACACAGAGAGTTCCAAAAACCAAAGTCAAGCTTCTGGGATTCACTTCCTGGTCACTGTGCTAGACATTCCTTATGGTTTGTTGCAGTAAAGCTCCCGGCTAGCAGGTGAGATCATAAAGATCATTGCAGTGAAGCTATTCGTTATTAATAAATCTGCAACAACTTCGTACCTATTTAAACTGTCGGGGACCAGACTCTCCAGGGTAGATGCTTTCCGCTGTCTGCTACTCTTCTGTCATAGTAAACTGTTAACATTAGTTTTTGGTCTGTCGGTCATAATGGCGTAATGAAGAAAATTATTAAAGGACAATTGATTATGACAATAATCTTTAGTTGCAAATGCAGAGAATTTGTCATGCTTTGTTTTTGGAGACATTCGTCTCCACATTTGGCCCTTCTGAGAGCAGTGAGGTATGCAGACAAGGGTGACCCAAACGCCCTGAGCCGGGTTGAATGTCACATCAGGGCAGGGAAGAGTTATTTTGGACTCTCCTGGCTTCCTGCTTAGCCCTCCAGTAACCCAGACCCCAGGATCCAGCGTGACCAGGGGCCTCTGTTTGGTCCTCGCCGGGTGACTGTTTTTTTCCTGCGGAGGAAGCGTCACTCAGGACACACGCACATACTCACTTCAACCCAATGTTTGTGTGCGATTGTGTTTCTGAGATGCATGGTTTTGGTTTTGGTTTTGATCTTTATGTTTTCCTTCTGGTGATTTTCTTTATTCAAGTTAAGAATCCTGAGCAATTTAAAGGCATCACCGTTAGCTAATTTCATGGGTATTTGTTCAAAAAACGTATGGACATCCTTTTAATAGACTTAGACAAACAACATGGAAGGTCTCAGTATAACCACATGATCGTTTTGTTTCCTTAGTTTTGAGCAGTTGAAGATGGCAGCCAATAACCTGAAGAAGCAGGCTACTAAAAAGAACGAGGGCAGTCTGGCCTACGTGAAAGGAGGCCTCAGTACGTTCTTTGAGGCCCAGGACGCACTGGCAGGTGAGAGGGATTAACACATTTTTGTGTGCTATGGAATTGCAATTAATACACAAACCTCCATATCATCACTCTTCATCTCAGCCCAGAAAAGAGCTTTTGATTGTTTGGAAAGCGCGTGTGTGTGTGTCAGGATTTTGTTTCCCTCTCCACACGCGGTTTAGCAGCGGTTGATTAAAGGGGCTCGTTTGGTCGTTGTGTGAAAATCCTCCACTTCATATTACAGCTTCACCAGCCAACCACAATACTGCTAATTCAGCTTCATCAAAATGAGATCAGCTCTTGCCTGTCGCACAAAGTCTCACTCCAGTCTCCACACACACACACACACACACACACTCACTTTTGGCTAAGTGGACCTCCAGATGCCAAGACGATTTCAAGGTAGCAGAGACTGACTGACTGCTGTCACTCTGCCAGGTACTCTGAATCAATTGTTCGCTTCATCATTCATAATTTTGTCTGTTTACTCTCTCCTCCCGCCATAGCCACTCAGTTACTTCCCCTTACTATTTATACGTACACTTCTCTGCCCCCATCATTATTATTATTGCTTTCCGTATGTTTGTGCCCCGGTTCGGAGAGAGTCAATGTTTTCATTGTTAGTGGCTGAATCTAAATAAACGGAGCAGCCCAACACAATGCAGGCCACAGTATTAGGACTGATAGTGCTGATAACAGACCCAATATGACCAATGGGAACAATGCGCGGTCATTCTCACGTTCAGGCTGAGCGTGCCCACTGTGTGCCCACTGCCCCGATGGGAAATGTACAATCTCTACAGACGGCGGAAGCAGTACACTGTGGATGGACTGAAGTGACCTGTGAACCGAGAGGGCGTAATGGTGCTTCATGACCTGTGCGACAGGATGGGATTCACTTTATTGGCCTTATTACAAATAATTATGAGGTTCCCTGCTTGCTTTGCAACCTTTTTGTTTGGATAATTCATCTCAGAAATGGACCCCTGTTCATTGATTGTGTGTTTTCACTTGTAAATCTAAATATCGATAGTATATAGTAAGAAATATGAAAAAAAAATATTCTATATAAATATGTACAGTGAATCTGAAAAAGGTGGTGGCTGTAGAAAATAATAGTACTTAGATGTGAGGATGTTAGTCTAAGTGCTTCACATATACGTTATTTATTAACACATTTAAGAATAAAATAGACCTTTTGAAACAGGTTAACCAACTAAAACCACAAACAATAATTAAGAGGTATTTTTTAATGCGATTAGTGGCAACTCACATAATGTAGGGCACCCAGAAAAAACACTGTAAAGAAAGTGTGGCCAACATGCTGACTCTGGAACAACAAAGCCACAAACTACAACATTAACCAAACGGGTGAACCTCTAACATAATGGAACGAAATATCAAATGAATGTAACCCCTCTCCCTCCCCGGCGCCCTCCTCTTGAATCATTACAGCACTAGAACATCCTTTCTCTGCCAGCGTGGGACCGTCAGTCATTAAAAGAACGGATAGATCAGGTTGAGATGTTCTGTACACGAGGTCCGTTCGGCCAAACCGACATACCGGCCGACACGCCGCTGGCCGCCCGCCGCCTCCAGGCGGCTCTCCAGCTGTGTGAGCCACCGTCAATCCTTTCTTTGTCTCTCAGCGGCCTCTGGCAGGTCTCTGTTGTTCTACGTTGATCCAAATGACCCTCACCTGCGATGGAAGTTGGATGGAAGTGTGAAAGTTGAAGAGGAATAAGTATTGGGAGGAAAAAAAGGATTTAATAGGGCGCTTGTGTGTTCTCCTTGTTCAGAACGTTGCTGCCGTGCCTGCAGCCCTCTCAATCACCATGGAGACATTTTACTCTCCTCTCCTGTTTATTTTCACTTTTCGCTCGCATGTGAGATTTTTATTGATGACTTCAATAGAAGTCTGCAGTTACCTTTTTGATGCAAGTGTACGGCTGCGGCCAGGCTGGAGGGAAAGAGCCAAATCTGGGGAAAGAAATGAGGCGGATAGAAAATATTTAGAGCAAATCGCACAACGCTGACTTCTATACCCGTGGGGTTTCTCTCTCTCCCCCCCCCCCCCCCTCACCTACTTGTCCCCACTAATTGCCTCTTAATTGCTCTCCAGTACAGTTAATCATCTCCGACTGAAGTGGCGAAACAAGAGCCTGTGTCTCTTGTTATTGCACTATGAACCTTTAAGCACACAGTTTAGACTTTTGTATCTGCACTCCACAAATCGTGGTAATGACACTGCTGTTTGCATTAGTTCGCTCAATGTTGACTTTCAGCCAGCTTTTGGTGCTGTGGCCGTTTTCATTTGAGCTTCCAAAGTGCCGTTGAGCAGCGCATCGCCGGGTTGAATAAAAGAATAAATGGTCGCACAGTATAAGGAATGAGCCTCTTCTGGCTCATGTGCTTAACCAAATGTCACTATTGTTAGCACATTCTTTATTAGAATTAGATTTTCTTCTAATTGAAGCAAATTATCCGGACACGACCACCAGATGGACGTGAGGCCCGAGACTGATCTACTCATCAAGGAGATTTTACATCGACCAGATGAAAGTAGTTCAAACTGTCAAACCCGCATCTCACTGTGTACCAACTATAGAGAATGTTATATTTTTAAAATCACATTTAAGTTGGACAACTGTGATTTAAATTGAAGTGTCACAATAAGGACTGCGTGTGTTTTGAATGTGGTTTGGATCAGTGGGGCAGATTAGAGTACTGTGTGTTGTTCTCCATCTGAGGTTTGCTGCCCTGCCGAGGTACAAAGACTGGGCATTTAAACTACAGTATCTCCTTTGGAAGTGGTCTGATTTTTCTATGCTAGTTTCCAAAAAATGTGTTTGCGTGCCCCATCAGCAGATCTCTTGTTAAATATGATATTTTAGTTGTTTGAAGAAAGGCCGTTTTGAAGCAAAGAAACAAACAAAGCGCCACAGCCTGGTGAAAGGTTTTGTCCCGGCGACTGCTTGGTGGCGCGGCCTCGAGCCGTGACTCCGCGGCGGCTGATTGACTGACTGACAGTCCGTCACGGAGTCTGGGGTTGTTTCTACAAAAATGTTGAAATTTGAGATTTTTCATTGTTGTGTGAACAGGAAGTCTCCCAGTGATGCAGGAAACGGAACGGCTACCGTGTTCCAAAAATGCCAGATTCCCAGGGCCTATTCCCCCAGCGCCCAGCCCCGCCAGGAGTCAAAACATCTCCCGCTTTAGAATCCAGGGACACTGTATTTTTAATCTTATTCATTTTCTGTTCCCTCAATAGTTGCAGGAAGTGAAGCGGGAGCCGCAGCTCTTCCTCAGGTCCCGTCTGCGTGTCTTATCCGGACTCTGAGCTGATGTTTAGGTTAGCTGTGACGCCATGAGCCCTTCACCGTGTGACAGATGCAGAGGACACGCAGCTGGCAGGGCGAGGGGGGAGGATGGAGGGGGGACGTGAAGCAGACCTGCAGTGTGTGCGCGTGTGTGTGGGTGTGTGTGTGTGTCCTAGTCTTCCTGTGTGTCCAGCCCTATTAATCCTGTTCGTTCCCACATACACATTCACGTCTCCGTGCCTCCGTCCTCACCCGTGTTTTCTGCCGGGTTGTTGAGCAGCGAGGTCCTTGAGAGGGCCGGGGCCTTTTAGCAATACCTCAGTCTCTGCCTCGAGGCTTCTGTCTGTCAGAAGAGACCCATGTATTTATTTACAGAACCCCCCCCCCCCCCTTCGTCTTTGCCTCCTGCTCCCTCCGCCGTCTCCGAGCTCGGCTGACGGGGAGCATTTGTAGCTGTGTGGAGAAGAAGACCGGGAAGAGGAGAGGGCAGAAACTGCTTCAACGTTCTTCCTTTTTTCTTTTCCCGGTTTCACGTTTTTTTTGTCTGCCTGGTGCATATTTAAGTCGCACCCCAAGTATGCATGAGTAGGTCTCCTAAGCCCTCTCTGCCTCTCTGCTTCTCCTCCTCTCCGTCAATAAACCCACACTGCAGCTCTCAGCGCCCAGCGGCCCACTACTGCTCAGCATTTATTTGTTCACAGGGGCAGCCACTCGCTGTGCCCCTTCTTCTCTCTCTGTTTTTCTCCCCTCATTCTCTCTATTCGAAGTTCCTTCTCCCGCGTAAAGTGATGAATACAAGTCATCAGAGTTCTTTCAATCCGCCCCCTCTGCCTCACCCCTTAGCAAACAGTCATTTTTGGAATCTAGACCTCCAGCTTTGCTCTTCCAAATGTTATTATTTAGACTCGAGACCTTTTAGGTTCACATTACCTCCAGGTCAAAGGGCTCCAAATGTCCCAAGACCACAACTCTGTGCTGTTAATGACTTCAGTTAGATGAATTGATTGAGTACAGTTAACGTAGGGACAGGGACACGTCGGCTGCTGCGTGGGAACATGCTCAGGAGGGGCGGGCAGCATCTGTGGGCGGAGAACCGGCGGGGTTATCTCCCATCTATTACCGGGGTAGGCCCTGTTTATTGTTTTACCTTGGGTTCCTCAAATTGAAAAAGTTCCTGTGTGAGGATTCCACGTTGGTAGGAACAGAGTAGGAACCTGTTTTTGGCTCTTTTTTATTTTTCCACATTTTTCCACAACTAAAACACCCATGATAATGTGATATAAATAATAATCTATATAGATTTATGTTTATGTTCTCCGTCAGTCTTTTACAAGTGATACTGTTTTCTGTCTTGCAGCGATCCACCAGAGGCTGGAGTTTGATGGCACAGAGAGAGTGGAGGGATCGATGACCCAGCGACTGGAAAACATCCTCAACAGTGAGCATCGCTTCATTCACACGGCAGTCATAAAAATAAGTGAAAACGTGTGTTTTGGGGGATATTTCCCCCCCAAAAAACGTGCAAAAATCTTTTCACCCTTTGGACTTAAACGCCCTTCATATGCATCAATCGATTCAGAATGGGAAATCTGCCCGGCCATTAATTAAACTGACACTACGGATACAGTCAGGGATGCATTTTCAGGATATTATTGGACTTTCTCCGGTAACAAAATGGCTTTTAGTTTTTTTCTGAGCAACAAAACTCCATCTGCTCAGCCGATGTAACTAGTCCACGTCTCACTTTGTGACATCATCATACGGGGGATTGTAATGCCGTTATTAATTAAAACACTATTTTAGGTGTAAAAAATGAACCCTTTATCTTTCTCTCAATAAAGTATCCACTCGCTTTTACTTAATTTAATCGGATTTTAAAGCATTCAAATGAAACTAAAAGCCAAAGCGTTAGGTGTCTTGCACTCTGTGAAGCCAAACTCATCTTGGCTCATCTTCCACTGATACGCCGTCCGTTAACGGAGCTCGTGTGCCCCGCGTGTACGTTGGATCTGCCCCCTTTTTTAACAAGCCGATCCCCCAGCAGATCTCATGTTCCCACTCTCTCATCTCATACATGATAGCATGACTTCTCTAATGGAGGGTCAATAAGCAGGTCCTTTTCCAGAGTAAACAAACCGCCAAGCCGGACGTAGCTTTCATCCCCAGACCAGTGGGACCAGTCCACCGCTCACCACTAGAAAGTGGTTTTAGTGGGATGCCCAGCGTCACTGGGCCAACCACCAAATAAGAATGTTAAGAACTCATATCAGCGAGGAAGCAAATGAAAGAATTTTTCCTCCGTTTGGTCCCATGCTTTTTTTTCCGTGCGGGTCTTTGTTTTGGGGGTGGGGCTTTGTTTTGATTAGAAGAACTTTTTTTTTTTCTTCCTGCTCTATCGGACTGCAGATTTGAGGCCACCCACGAAGCCGGCAGGTCTTGCAAAAGTTCCTCTCGGCTGTCTGAATAAGAGATAGCCGTCACTTTCTCCCTCGCAGCGCCGGCTCTACTGCGTTAGGTAGCATTCAGAGCAGGAAGAAACCCAGAGGCCGCCATTTAAGCGGAAATGTGGTGTCAATCATTTATTTTTATAGTGTCCCAGCTTCTCATTTGCTCCTTCCCTGTTTGCTCTCCCTCACACATGCTCCCTCCCGTGTGTCTCGTAGGAGCCAGCGATACTGCAGATACTCTTTTCCAGGAGGTCTTAGGGCGCAAAGACAAGGCTGACTCCACACGCAATGCACTCAACGTCCTGCAACGTTTCAAGTTCCTCTTCAACCTGCCACTCAACATCGAGCGCAACATCCAAAAGGTACTTTCCGTGTGGTACGCGCACGTAGAGAGGAACAGCCGCTGTATCGATATGAAGTGCAGAGTAAGAAGCAAATACAGCTTCCTCACTGGTTCCCCACTGGTCAATTTGTAAATGCTCTAATTGGAGCCGGCTGTAGTGAGATATCGGATCATTCATCACCAGACAAATGTGTTTTCCAGCCGGCACTCAGGCCTTCAGCAGAGAGTTGAGCTCTGGTTAATTCCCTTTACTTGCAGTTTGCACTACCTGGGATAGCCACCATTTACTTAACTATGGCTCAACACTAAGTAAGTTTTGAGTGAAATACAGTTTGTTGTATGGACGGCTTCTTTTTTTTTAATTGCCTTTGTATCAAGCTTGAGAACTCCCGCAGCCCTACAAGAAAAGAAGCATTCGAGTTCTTCAAATTCATATTCTTGTGAAGCTTTTTTATATTAATAATTGTTTCTTCAAAGTTGTTCATTTAGTCTTTTCCATTGCATGATACCCGAGATCTACGCTCAGCGTGTACGGACTTTTTAGGCATAGCTGGGATTGCTGTCATCATACGGGTGGAGCGAGTTAGGCTCCAATAGACAATGTGTGTCAAGAATGTGGAGTTAAAAAAACAAAAGCAACCCAGACTAAGCTGCATTATTAACTGAACGGATTCTTCTCTGTCAGGGCGATTATGATGTGGTGATCAATGACTATGAGAAAGCCAAATCTCTCTTTGGCAACACTGAAGTCCCCGTTTTCAAAAAAGGTCAATTATTTTGCCTCCATACATAAATTAAACAAAGTATAACATTAACAATTGTTTTCAAATGATTCTCTTCTTATTGAATTTTCCTGTTACTCTGTTCTAGTGTATGCTGAGGTCGAGATGAGGATCGGAGCTCTGAGGAGTCTCCTATTGGAGAAACTGCTCCAGACCCCGTCCACACTGCACGACCAGAAGAGATACATCAGGTCTCCTTACTGTCTGAATTCCTCCCGTTTGTCATGTTTTCTATACCTCATACGCCATGATGTGATTTTACATGAACAGGTTCATTTTCTACGTGTGAAAACGGTCTTTCATCACACATAATCTGTGCGTACAGTACACATAAAGTAATGACTTTTCTCTTATCTGTGTCCTCGTTTCCCAGAACTCGCTCTTCCGTCCACTTTCTTCCGTCTCGCCTGTTCACTCCGCCCCGCCGCCTTGTTTCTGTTTCTATTTTCCCCTCTTCTATGCCTTTCTGTTTTTTCCCCTTCCATCCTTCTGCCCATTCGTACTTGTGGGCTCTCCCGGTTTATTTTTGTTAAGACCGACCTGTCAGGATCACAGAGAGCAGTTCTCAACTACACAGCAACAGCTTTCATCCCGCTGCATTAGGCACGGCTCTGAACGCCCACTCAGCTCCTGTTTACTCTTGCCGTGCATGGTGGGAACTGTGCGCATGTGCGTCTGTGTGTGTGCGTGTGTGTGTGTGTGTGTTTATGCCTGTGAGTCTTGCTCAATCTCTTGAAAGATGCCACCTAATGAGAAACAAATGAGGAGGTAGTTCATAGGACAACAGCAGAGGGAGCCAAGCCACAGCTCAGCGAGTGCGTCACCTGACAAGCCCGCAGGTCACGGGTGGAGAGACTGAAAAGGAAACCGTAGATCTCGCCGCGATGGTCTCCTCTCCTTTTTTTTTTCTTTTCTTTTTTTTTTTTAGGGCACATTTCTCACACGTGTGTGTTTGTGCCTGCGTAGGTATCTGTCTGACCTCCACGCCCCGGGCGACCCGGCATGGCAGTGCATCTATGCCCAGCACAAGTGGATCCTGCAGCTGATGCAAAGCTGCAGAGATGAGTTCATCAGCGGCCAGCGAGGTGACTCACACACACACGTCTGACATGACTCGCATTACTCATGAGGAAAAGCCCCTGTTTAGCATTTCCAATCAGGCGGCTGGTGGATGTCGTGTGAATGTGGAGGCGGCCCGGGGCAGAGAGAAGGCCTGCTGCCTGTCCGTGGTACCAGCTCTATGCTCGCATTCCCCTCTCGCTCCCCGCCTTCCCCCGCTCTGCTGCGGGCCTGTGTGTTTATTTTCTTCTGAACGTATGAATAAGATGAAAGCGAGGGCGCATTGGCTTTGGATTTGGGTTTCAGGGCTTGACATGTTACTGCACACCCCCGCACGCACACACACACACAGACACACACACAGCTTCACAGATGGATTGGAACAATTAACCCCAATTAAGCCGTTCCTCTGTTAAATCAGCCAGCAGAAAAATGTGAACGTGAAACCGTCCGCTCAGGAGGAACAGCGATTTGCCAGCCACGCTTAAACGCACATGCACACTCCTACATCCATGCTTGCACAAAGGCACCCATACAAATACATTGTGAGTGGGTGGCTGCTTCACATAGTGCAGCTGGAACATAAACATGTCTAATGCTAAGGGTAACAGTGGTTTCCGGGGCTCAGGCCTGATGGATCTTGGGGGTCGGTGTGCTCCCTGCCTCTCCACATTTAAATATCATCTTGATCATCATGTCCGAGATGGCCTCTTTTCAGTCCACACGTGCATTCCACAGCTGAGCAACATGTGGCAGGGAGTGAAACGAAAATCGCATGCAAATCTAGGACAAACCCACTATTCAGAAAATTGCTGGTTTTACAAAGATCTGTATTTATGGTTTGTTTATTTACTTAAATGGAACAGTGTGAGACATGAAATAAACGTTAAGGGATTTAAGAGAAACCTTACACCTAAACACTATTCTATATACGCCAAATAGACACATTTACTGTGCACACAAAGTCCTTATTCTGTAAAAAAGTCAGTTTTTGGTGTCTCCCAAAGTGACTAAAGGGGATTTTCCAAACAAGACAAATAAGTGTTTCCGGATCTTCGACATCTACGGTGAATTTCTGTTTAAGATTAAGCAACTAAAGCTACTTTGTTAGTTTGGGGTCATAATATTTAAAAGAACCCACACTTAACCTCGTTCCTCTATGCAGGACCTAAGTTGCAGTCAGCACCATGGATGTCATGTGATTTGTAAATCCAAAATCCTGCTTTTCTTGGTATAAAGGGCTTCCCGCTGCCTCTGCCACCAAGAGAGGATAGTCGTTATTTGGCCACTTTTCAGGGAAACATTTTCTCATAAATGAACACAACTTTGCACAATTATGGGCCAAAACCTCCACCAGGTACCCACAAGGGCTAAAACAATTGACCATCACGTTCATTCTTCTGCTGGTGAGGATGGTCTTCATCTAGCTAATGATCATAGCATACTCGCATAAAAAAGGTGCGCACAATCCCTCCATTTAGCGGTCGGCTCGACTCTCGCCACAGCCAGCTGTCTCCTGTCCCCACTGCTGTCACAGGGAGCCCCTCTATCCCCCCCACATGCACGCGCGCACACACACACACACACAGCTGCTAGCTATTTACCCGGCGCTCTCTGCTCACCTCTCGCCCAAGTACGAAACCTGTGCCTCTTGAAACGAATCTTTCACCCGGGCAGCCCATTAACAGCCACCATCCGAAAACCACATCCACTGCATCTCCCTGACCCCACTCTTCCTCCCTCTCTCTCTACCCTCCTCTCCTCCCCGCACAGGCTGCTAGCAGCCTCCTCTTCCTCCTCCACTGAGCTGCTCACATGCAGCAGCTGGGTTTATTAAAAAGACATTGTTTTGTGCTATTGACGGCATCACACGTGGCAGGGATTAGCCTTTTGTGATGGAGCAGTAACTGATGTCCTGAATATGAGGTTGGAGGCCGTTGTGGTTTAGTACGGATTCCGATTCAATTACACTTTGAATTGCCATCCATGAGAAACAAACCCATCCGTCTCCTTTGAACCAAAAGCCTTGAGTCCCAGTTTTCTTACGAGGAAGCCTAGCAGGGCAAGTTGCTTCCGTATGTCTAAACACTCCCATCATGCCCCGCTGCTGCAATCTGACTCTGCCCGATTCAGTTTTAAACTGCAGTGTTCTTACTTCCTGAACAGCACCTTTTCTGCCAATATCAATACAATTAGCAGCATTTTGTCTGTAGGAAAATTGATTTGTCAGTGAACATGCGGCTGTGATTTTAGACTCAGTCAGTACCTCTCTAGGGAAAAACGTTAATTATCACATGTGTATGCATGTGTATCAGGGCAGGGTTGCGTATTCTTGACGTTTGTTTTATTTTGATTTGATCCCAGAGAAATCCAGAAATGCGTGAGTTTACTTGTATTCGTTCATCTGTTTAATGCTAATTCATTAATACAACTATCCGGCCAAATGCCGGTTATTTTACCGGCAGAGTGTAATATTTCTGGGAGGGATCCTGGAGCCCACTTTCACTTCATGGTCAGGTTCAGTGACCTCTTGGGGAACAGGAACTCATGTGATCTGCAGAGAAGCATCAGACCTGATGAGGAAGTGAGCAGAATCCTTGTTTGAGCGTCTTCAGTGCACATACACAGCGGTTCCTACATTTTAACTTTCACACATTGAGCAAGAAAAAACATAATGAACCGTTTGAGCACTTAGCAGCCCTGCACACATGCACACTTGGACCTAAGATGTCTCAAACACACATGCACTTGTGCATTCTGAGGACGCCGGGGATTCAGCCGACACCTGGATCAACAGTGGCTCTCATCCCCGTAAAAAAGAGCAAAACAAAACCGAGACGGACTCTGCACGGCTCCATATGAGCTGTGTGTCGATGTGGTGTGAGAAAGCTCTCTGTGTGTTTGCAGATAATCTGACTCAATCGGGAATTTCCTTCCATTTTCTTGACTGGATGGTCGGGCTGTGTCCTCCTTTTGCTGGGGATTTCTCAGTTGTAGCTTCAACCCTGCATTCAGTCTGTGACTCACCAATGAGACTCTACCGTGTGTGTCAGACTCATGCTTTGGAAATGTGGCCACCAGTCTGCCTTCATTCAAACAACCTGCATGGAGGCGTATTGCGGCGCTGCAGAAACCTCCCTGGGGTTTATCCCCTCTCACCACTGCAGTGTTTCTCTTTCACTCCGGACTGTCAACCACTTCATCTCCGTGGGTCCACTGAGCGGATTCTATCTCACCAGCCCAGCAGACAGGAGTGTGTGGTTGCAGAAGCGCCTTTCTCGTTTGTCGCGCCGCAGCAAAGCTCCCTGTTGCCACCTAGTGGAGCTCTGGTCTCAAGGACCAGAGGTAACTGGGCCCCAGTAAACCCGCTTCACCCCGCTGCTCACAAAGCCCACCGCTCTGTCTCCTCGGCCTGGAAACAAGGCTGCATTCTCCCAGATGGATCAGAACACAAATAAAGAAAGGCCGAGAGGGGCGAGGGAGGATTGTTTGGTGTGAAAGCTTGCTGAGCTTATTGAGGAATGTGGAATCATGAAAATGGCTTATTTGATATCTGAAGTATGTTTGTGCCCCCCCCCCCCCCCTCCCCTCTCCCCCTCACGAGATTAATCTCCTTCTCCCTCCTTTTCGTTAATGCCGTCAGTGGGCGTCGGCGCTCTGGACCAGGAGAGGGATGCCCGTGGGTCGGCCCTCGGCAGACTGGGCCACAGCGCGTCTCTGAAGAGGGGAGGCAGCCCAGAGGACGACGCGACCCAGCAGTGGGTACCACAGGAGGGGCTTCCCTGTTTGAGGCCATCTCATCAGAGTGTGAACCTGCTTGTTTGTGTGTGTGTGTGTTTGTGTGTGTGTGTGTGTGTGTGTGTGTGTGTGTGTGTGTGTGTGTGTGTGTGTGTGTGTGTGTGTGTGTGTGTGTGTGTGTGTGTGTGTGTGTGTGTGCGTGTGTCTGTAACACTTCTTTGCCGCGTGCATTGTTTGGGGGAACCACATCACAAAAGAGTTGAATGTAAGGAAACTGTAAAAGTACGACGACAGTATGACTGGAAGTTAAAGATGATCAAAGCACACTGACATTTTCCGGGGGGTATTGCTAGTTGTGTTAGTAGAGTTTCCCATCAACGCCGTTCATAGTGCAGAAACATATTACAGTGGGTTTGTGTGTTTGTCTTTCTTCTAGCCTGGCGCTTTGAAACCCCGCAGCAGGTGCAGTTTGTGGAGAAGCTTTCAGATGTGGTCATCGGCCAGTTGCCCAACTTCTGGAAGCTTTGGATCTCTTACGTTAACGGAAGTCTTTTCAGTGAGGTAAAATTTTACAGGGACGGGAAATAAAGTGACTGTACAGTACCAGTCAAAAGTTTGGATACATTTTCTGAAAACGTAATCCGAAAGCGCACATTGTTTATATTTGGAAATGTCCTAAAAATCCTTAAATGTGGTCGAGGGATTGACCTGGCGTCCAAGTCATTGATGTGCATCCTTGAGGATTAGTATTTAATATAAACTCTGTTTCTGGTACTCGTTGTTGCTTGTGATTACACGTTTTATCTCCCTACACTTCAACTGTGGAATTAAGGAAAAGAGGTGGGAAAAATGTTTTGGTCAAATGGATGACCTGCTTAAATATGCGTTTGATATTGAACATAATTGTGTATCGCTTTTTCTTTCTTTATTCAGACTGGAGAGAAGTCTGGACAGGTGGAAAAATCCAAGAAAAATGCCAGACAGCGGCAGAATGACTTTAAAGTATGCTTTGCTGTGTGAAAATGTTATTTAAAAAATATATATATATCATATTATTATTATTATAGCATATTTTTCTTCATGTAAAGCCCACCTGACCTTGTTTGTACGTCTCGCTGTGTCCTTCTGTGTGTGTCATAGAAAATGATCGAGGAGATGATCAATCGGCTGGTGAAGCTCGTTCGGGGGGCTCTTCTCCCCACTACGCTGCCGCAGGGGGAGCTGAGTTCTTACGGAGGCTGGGAGAACAAGACGGAGCTCACTGGGGCCTGGCTTACTCAAATCATACACATCGTCAGGTTTGGATCCCCGTCTCAGTGGTCGTGTGCAGTTCTGACATGCTTGTGTGCAGGAATTTAAGACTCCCAATGGCTGCCATAATGGCATAATGCCCTCTGCCTGTGCTCCTCCCTGTGGCCTCCTTGTTTTCTCTCGTCCAGGGCTTGTCACGAGGCTCTGTCCACTCTGGAGATCCCCAACGACTTGCTGCAGGTGATCCAGGATCTGCTGCTGGAGCTGAGAGTTCACTGCCTCATGGTCACTCTGTTGCACACCACAGACGGTGAGGGAGCCCTTTGTGTCGCCCGGTATCGGTTTTACTGATTTCCTTCATCGAGAGGCGGTCAGTGTCCTCAACAGTTACATTTGACTTACAACAACTTCCAGGGTAGTAATGGAGAAAGTGTTATGATACTAAAACCAGACATGCTCAGTTTCACTTGTGGTTATGCATGGTCATCTTGAGAAGAGCGACTGAGTTCCTCCTAACTTTCCCCCACACTGTGGTCTCGTCACCAGAGTTTGATTTTCTATCATATTGCGGTTTGCCCTCAGAAACCCTCACAAAAATGTTTATATGTTTCATGAATTTGTAATGGCCCCGTGAGAAAGTGATCCTTTCTGATTCCTATTTGTGCTTTTTGTACCCCCAGATGTCAAGGGGCTCGCTGAGAAGGAGAACTGGGTCGTGGATAATGAAGGGATCACCAGCCTGGTAAGTGAAGTCCCGTCACATCGGGCCGTAGGTCGAACACTCCACCAAAGTGTCCGTCACATGGCAGTGACACACTCCCAGATGCACACCGTCTATTCAACCAGCGGCTCAGTCCTTAATGTGCACTATTTTCTGTTCAAAAAAAGATAGAAAGATTATTTGAATGATATTTGTATAACTCAACACAAGGTGGTATTTTTAATCTGTTTTCTCTTCGTCGTGCTTTTCACAGCCTTCACAGTTCGAACAGTGCATGATCCAGATGCTGCAGTCACTCAAAGAGCCTCTGGAGATCAAACCTGGAGAAATTAATGTGAGTTAATGAGCTGCAGTCATCCATCCACAGACACTACAACTACAGTCACAACTTTAGCCTCCTCAGTTATCTTATTTGTTGCCCACAGATATTTCTTTATAGCACGTGTGTGGGTACGGCACCGCTGCTGCACACTTGTAGTCTTTGTATGAAGCAGTGGATACATATCTGAACTTCGCCATAACATCTGATCAAATCTTGAACCTGTTCACTGCAAATGAATCCTGAGTGTTTACTGATCGCTCCATCTCCTGTTCAGGTGCTGCAGTTGGATCAGGTGCAGGACCAGGCCACAGAGCTCAGTGTGAACATCATGAAGGTAACATGGGACCGACAGGAATCTATTCGGGATGTTTGACAAATGCAAGCAATATTCAACACAAAGATATCCAGTGAGGAAGGATTAAAGGACAACTTGTGAGGAAACCCAGAGCCTACAACCTACTACTATTTAGTCCTTTTTAAAGTTTGGACCATCAAAGACGGAGGCTCTGTCAAAATCCTGTGCAGGTATAAAAAACACTGTCTCATAGTTTGACTTCTTTAGTTTGACTTTTAGGAAACATGACTTGAGTTCATTACTCTATTTCTTTTGTGGTCGTAGAGCACGGTGGAGTAAACGGATGTCTTTTAGTTGGACAGGGATTTTGCTGCAGCACCTCGCACAGCGTGAAATGCTGTGAACTTCCAGGACATGTCGTGTTTTTGCTGTAAACTAAACATCGGAATGATGACTGCTCACCTATTGCACTGTATACACTGTCCACTGAAACACGCACCCTGTGCGGCTCTAACGGAGCGTGAGCTGAGCGAGTCCATCGCGTAGAGAGAGAGAGACTTGAGGACGGCGGCACGTTTTTCACACCATCCCTGACTAATGTCTTCATGTGTCCCAACGTAGGTTTTCATTTACTGTCTGGAGCAGCTGAGCAGTAAGAGTGAGATTTCTACTTCTCAGTAAGTACTTGGATAACTTGTTAATGTCTGATTGTAGTGTATTCGACTCTGACTACATATTGTGTGTGTGTGTGTCTTTGTGTAGCAACATATCGGTGGACCTCTCCTCTCCGGATCGGTTCACTGCAGCTCATGAAGGCTTCAGTCCAACATCAGTAAGTGTGGTGCTTTTCTTTTTTTTTTTTTTTCAAACGGTTTGTGTTTTTAATATACCTGAAAGGCCACATCTGTCACCGAAGCGTGGGCTCTCTCCTCTAGACACAGCCCCAGCGTGTGTCTCGCTCAGTCAAACCACCAAATGTTATCAGGCTGTTTCCTGGTTGTAGACCAGCAGCAGATACGTCCTCATTTCCTGTAACTTGTTAGAGATGTTAGCGAAGAGGGTGCAGCGCAGGGGAGGAGGAGGAGGAGGAGGAGGAGGAGGAGGAGGAGGAAGAGCATAGCGTAGTGCTTCTTGTAAAGGGAAATGGAGCACCTTGCAAACGGGGGTTCCCCAGCCCCGATATGCGTAGCAGGGCTGAGGCAGCGAGACTCGATTGAGCGCAGCTGACCAATGTTAAGACTGGTGACACTCTTGATTTACTGTTTCAACCTAGTTGGCAAACCAGCAATGGCCACATACAGAGAACAGGACCTGGCCGCCGTTGCTAGAAAACTACCAGGTTACATCCCCCCCACTGAGGTCTCACATTATCAGGTCTGCAGTCTTAGATTGGGTGTGAAAAATGTATGTTCTTACATGTGTTCTTGGCCAAATGTACGCCCACCGTTCTGTCAGGATCTGTCCTCTCAGTGTATAATTATTTGTAGGCATTATTCTTGTGGGTGCCAATTTGAGTCTCAGCAACGTGGAGACACGCTGCTTTTAATGAAAGACATTTAAGGAAAATATAACTGTGCTAAGGAAGTAAGGACACTTTTGACAATAAAAATGTGGGTAATGTGGGTTTAGCAAAGTGAGGAGAAGTAAGAACATTGATAAGGAGAATTTCCAAGTAAAATGTGAGATTATTATTAAAGAGTTAAGGACATTTTAGTTTACTTTTTAGACAGTAAAGAGGACGAAGTTCATAACATTGGACTGCGTGAGGGTTAGTACTCTGGATCAGCTTAAAGTCTGTGCTCAGCCATGTAGTTGTGATGACTGAGCGGACAGGATGCGCAAAACGTCATGAGAGTCCTCGCTAGTGTTCAAGTATTAACAAGTGTTTGTTCGTGTTTTTTAGGAGCAGCGCCTACTGATCATCCTCAGCAACTGCCAGTACCTGGAGAGACGCACCCTGCTGAACCTGGCCAATCACTTCGAGAAACACGGGCTCACAGGCACCGAGAAGATCACACGGGTCAGTTTAACACTCGGGTTCATAGCAACCGAATCCACCGCAGTGACTCATGCTGCTCATCGAGAAGTGTGTCGTATTAACAGCAAAACCGATCAGAGATCCTGGAGATATGACTCTTTACCTGCTACAAAAAAAAAAAAAAGAATATGGAAAGGTCATTGTCTTCACGCTAAGTTCCACATTTTCACTCCTTTCTCCTCTTCAGACCCACACACACACACACACACACACACACACTCACACACTTAGTCACTCACAATGACTAATGGCTGATTCACAAAGCAAAGAAGTATCCGTTTAGCTTGCCGGTAGAATAACGGTGAGCATCATTTTCTTTGAAAGATTGATATCGACTTTTACATTTCATGTGCCGTTGATGTTTGGAGGGCAAGTGATGTGTATCAGTTGTTGTAGATTTTAATCTGCAAGAATTCGTTAATAACAGAACTTTGATGAATAAGTGAATAATAATAGTTCCCCCATCAGGCATCTGCAACACAGCATCTCAGATCGCACACGTCCACACAGGGCTGCGTGAACTCTGATTTATCATGACATAATAAAACGCTATAAATAAATAATGTTAGTAAAATAAATTGAATCAAAAGGGTTTTGTTTTACATGTTTGATGAGCAAAACTAAAGAATCGCAATAAAGCTCCACAGTGAAACGCAGAACGAGATGGATTACGAGTATTTGATAGATTTATTTTAATTTTTATTCAGTATCACGTTGTGCTTTGACTTTGAGTACAGAGTTGTAGCGTGTCTCCTCCCTGCTGACGCACCTTCATGCGTCCTCTACGTCCCAGGTGAGTGTGGACGCTGTACGAGAGCTGGATAGAAAACTCTTTGAGGCCTACATCGAGAGACGAGCCGACCCGATCTGTGGCTCCCTGGAGCCCGGCATCTACGCCGGGTACTTTGACTGGAGAGACTGCCGGACGCCGACAGGTACCGTACTGCACGGCCTCTCCGGGTGCCGTCAAACGTCTGTCTGAGACGCCCGTGGGGTCGAAATCACCTGCCAGAACCCTGTTAATCTCTGAAATGAGCTGCTCACAGTCCTGTCGGGTGGGAACTCGACGTCTCCGGTCCGATGTGTCATGTGCACGGCTCTTTGATGGCTTACAGGAAACACCAGTGCAGGCGAGCTACTGGTCTCAAAGTCTCGTGGCCTTTGTGCTTACTGTGGGAGTGCAGTGACTTATGCACACGTGTGTGTGTGTGTTGAACCTCTCGCACACCAGATGCACCGACCCAGGTGAAACTTAAATGTGTATATGTGGTTTACCTTGACACAGGATGTGAGGCAGCTTGTCCGGGTGCACGTTGCGATGGGCAGCAGCTCGCTGCGTGGCTGAAACAGGCAGCGGCGAGCGGACGTTGGGCCTTGCTCTGCTTGGTTCCTGCCGGTGGGAGTCGGTGTCATTGGGCCGCATGTGAAAGAGGAACATTTTGGACTCCAAACCACAGTTCTAGGATATGATACTTTCACTTGTTGCACATTTTGTGTGGGACGCATGATGGTGTGTGGCTGCTGCGAGGCATTGAGAATCCACTTTCAGTCTTTTGCTGCCTCTGGTTCCTTCAGATGTTGCGCCGTCTGGTCTCTCCTGTCTATGTTACCTTCAAAGAATACTATAGACTAAAAAATATCAACATGCATTTGTGTCACGTTGATCTTTGTGTGCAGCTTGTTAATATTATTTTTAGCAACGTTGATTATATTAGAATGTCACTGCATAGCTCGATACATTCACTATTTACTGTACTGTACATACAAGATGTACTAGATTGCTTAGCAGTTCAATAAAACGTGACGACATACCTCATAACCAGCAGTATACAACCTGTGCATTAGTTCCTTTCAGGCTGAACTAAAGAGAAACCAAAGACTACGATCTTCTCTTTGATCCAGCTAGCTCTCCCGTTTCATATTCACTTGTCAAACGTTCCAACACCTGACGGTGTGTGTGTGTGTGTACACACTTTGTTATTTATGGATCTCTGACAGCAGAAACTCAGACACGTTTTTCTGTAGCTCTCTCAGCATCTCGTGTACCTGGATGTTTGTCCATGCTGTGCATTTTCCCTCCTTTAGGTGTGAGGAACTACCTGAAGGAAGCCCTGGTCAACATCATCACAGTTCATGCTGAGGTACAAACACCTGCACACACTCCCTACACACCATCACCCCTTCTCGCTCTTTGGAATTGTCCCTCTATCATGCACCATGCATTTACCAGACTTCTGTCTAATGCGTCCGTCGCTGTCTTTTATCTTTACCAGGTCTTCACGGTGTCTAAGGACCTGGTACCCCGGGTTCTGTCTAAGATTGTCGAGTCGGTTGCGGAGGAGATGTGTCGTCTTATGCAATGCGTGTCCTCCTTCAGCAAAAATGGATCCCTGCAGGTAGTCACTGACACACATTCGCACGTTGGTAGAGCAGTTCATCACTCATAGTAAGACCCTGACTCATAAGCAGACCTTTGCACTCGCTGGGGGATCTACCTGTGGTTTCTAATCATGACTTAATGCAGTTCAACGGTTGAAGATGTTCATTCGATTTAATTTGCTCTGTTGCCCATGACAACTCCCAACCCCACCCTACCACGTCCCCAGGCCCGGCTCGAGCTGTGTGCTCTGAGAGACGCCATATCCACGTTCCTGAACTCTGACAGCAGGTATGTGCAGCACACGCACATTGACACAGACGGGAACGCCTGTACGTGCCCGGTGATTTATGGTAGCGAATGTCACAAACATAAATCTTAGCAGTCGCACATCCCTCTGTACGATCCCTATTTGTGTTACTTGGTGGGTTCTGGAAAGGAAGTGAAAGTAATCTGGTCCTGCTGTGTGCACGCACTGCGGTGGGGCCTTCGTGCGTGTGTGTGCATACGTGTGTGTGTTCATGGGCCGAGGTCAGCGCGCCTGCTTCGGCTTCTTCTGAACCGCGTTTTGAGAAATTAGTTTTTAACCCTTTTTTTTTTTTTTTTTTTTTCTGGTAGCGCCAACTTCAAACTGGCTCTGGATGCCCTTCCACAGCTCCATAGTGGAGCTGATAAGAAGTGAGTGTCCTTCTGGTTACTTGCCAAAGTGTATCTTTGTCTTTTCTTTTGTTATGTTCTTCAATGCTTTTGATATTACATTACAAATCATTTAGCTGACGCTTTTATCCAAAGCGACAATAAGTGCATTCAACCATAGGGTACAAACTCAGAAGAACAAGAAACAAGAAAGTGCAATTTCATAAAATAAGCCAATTTACTGTTTGCTATAGACAAGTGGCGTTATAAGTACAATTTAAGTGCTACAATTATATTCATATTCATTCATTTCAATATTAATTTCAAACTATTTCTTTTTTTCCGCCAGGTTGTTGGAAGAGTTGTTAAACAAGTTCAAAAGCAGCATGCAGCTCCAGCTCACCTGCTTCCAGCCCTGCTGCATCCAGCCTGTTAAGAGATGAATTCAACCCCGTCTGTCTGCAACTGTACTGCACTCGCTGTGTCTCATGTGTGTGCAGTGAGCTAATGAACTTTAACCTTTTCGCTTAACACTTTATTAACTCATAGCGTTTGTTTCACTATCAGTGTTCAGTTGTTCTTCACCAGAGTGTGTTCATCTAATCTCAATGACACAAGATGAGTTGATGTTGCTGTTAGTGTGTAGGCCTGTAACTGGGATGAACTCAGTTAAACTCAGTTTAAAGTTGGTGTTGATGCTTTGTACTTTGCCATCTCTGCAGCCCAATAAATGAGCACTACTTACTTGTTTGTTCACTTCTGACTTACCCATCAGCCGATCGAGTTTTTTTATAGAACTCTGTCAAGTCTTTCCATTGTTCTGAGCAATTTTCAGGTTCACAGCCCGTATGTGAGATAGACAAAATAACCGATTGTGCGACTGAAAGGGGACGAATCTTAAATGTATCGTATATGTTTTAGTAGAACGTCACGAGGATTGGCTGATGGCCACTGGGATCGGGGGCCACAGGCTCTACCCATAGCCTACATTACCAAACACCCTTTCAGTAGTTGATCAGCAATATCCACTGAGGAGCTGGTCTCCATTGTGATGATCACTACAATGTGATCTCTTTCTGAAGGCTTTCATTGTTCCAGTCTTTTTGTCATTATAAATCCTACAGGTTTGCATTCATGTCTTCCATATATACAACATCACTTAAGCTGGTGTGCTACAAATGATGTATTGCATTACCAAATGATTATTAATATAAATCAGCCAACTGTCTCTAGTTGCATAGAGAAAGAAGGAATAGCACACATGTTGTTCTATGGATTAACAAACGGGTGTTAATGACATCGTTGCCAAACCTGCTGAATGATTCCTGATCACAGATACACACACACACACACACACACACACACAGATCCTCCGTTTTGCATACTGTGCATGCTTGCAGACCACAGTTCAAACCGGCGGGTAGAAGCCATTCATCCGTGGAGCTCCTGCACCGGCCGTTCCCTCGCGCTGTCTGGGAGGTGGGTGAGCACAGGGCGTGTGCAGGGGGGGGGTAAAGGCCGTTATTCGTTATTCAGGGCATCTAACGGAATAGAACGCGCTGTCGTTGCTCCAGGGGGAGATGGTTGACGGCAGAAAGTGTGACTCTGGTCGTGGGTGGAGCCAGCAGAGCGGTTGTGGTGAGTCGAGTCACTCAGGTTGAGGAGAGCGACAGCAACGCGCCCACAACTCGCAGGAGAAGGTGACAAAGACGTCAGGTTATCGTAGGACAACATCAGGTTTTACAGTAGTTGATCCATTTAGCTGCAGCGTTCTGCTCTTGTCGCGGTCCTCAGACCTTCTCTGGGCCTTGGTTTCCCATCGATGTTCAGGGGAAAGCAGGAGCTGTTTTGATTGTCTGAGTTCTAAACTTAGCTCTGTGCCCTCCCACGGATTCATTCATTCAAATAAACCCTTATCCGCTCTCTGTTTACACTGACAGATGTGAGAAGGGGGAGGTTTTTTTTGTTGTTTTTATTTCATTTTGTGTTCCATTCACGAGACGAGATGAAGAGACCTGAGAAACACGTTGGTACTTTAATCTGACTTTTCTTCTTTATGAGTGGGTACTTGAAAGAAATGGAGAAATTTGACACATCAGAGGAAATTTAGGGTGCACTCACCGACTGGTTGTTATTCAAACAGTTAGACATTAAAAAAAACACAGCTAGTGAACAACATTAGCTAAAGAAATACAGCAGAAATGTTTAATTTAAAGGATCAGTCTTCTATTTCTATCATATAATGCTTTAGGTGCAATGCGTAGAATCCGGTTACATACACATGCAATATTCTGAATGATATATTTCTGGATCTTACACTATATAAACATTTAACTACAGCTTAAGGTCATAAGGAGCCAAAGCAAGTGTTAGTATAACTTTTATTTAAGATTCCCACGTCTGTATTTCACTACATTTTTATTTGCCCATAGCATGTTGACTTATCTTATTTTGAAAATAGTTTATTCAACATGTAGAATGTTCTTAATTTTTCTTCAGGACGTAACAACTACACAACCTAGTGTTACTGTTTTGATATTTAAATGGTAAAGTTGTTATTGTGAAGTTAATATCTTACTTTCTGTAAAGGAACGCCCCTTTGGAAATGTTCAAAACCCTGTTTTGGTTCAAAGTGACGCCGGAGGATCTTCCTGTGGGGCTTCGCGGCAGTGACACGTGTGTTCGTGGGGTTTTGCGATTAATTTCCATGGAAGTGGAAAGCGACGTTAATCTGCGAGCTGAAGTCAGGAAGGCCTCGTCTCCAGCGCAGCGTGGAAAGCGTGGCCGACCTCTTCCTCCTCTCTCTCCGCCCCTCCTGATGTCATCACTGGTGATAATAAAGTGTTTGATTAACCAGCCTCATCCTGCACAAGAAGCTCACTTCCTGCTCAGACGCAGCGCGCTCACTACCGACGTTCCCCCGAGGAGCTCACCCACTTATCAACACAGGTCATCTTTGCACTTGAGCCTTTTATTGTTTTGTACAACAGAAATGTGCTTCTTCAAAGCAAAAAACAGCCACTCCTTCTCAGATTTCATATGTTACATTCAATTACAAAAATATATCTCATAATTGATACAAACTTTAGTTGAAAAAGCTTATCTAAAACCTGTTTGTCACCTAAACGTAGCTGGGCTTGCTTCACTCCTAACTTAAATGGGGGTGATCGTGATAGTGTCTCCTAGCAACAAGAGGATGTATTTGTAGGAAGTCTCACAACAGATGAAAAATAACTGCCAGAAGACCATTAGCCTAGCTTAGCATAAAGTCTGCAGATGGGTGGTTCCAGAGGTAAAAAAAAAAGGAGGTGCCTGTTTTGGCTTGTTACCTATACAGAGCCAGGCCAGCAGTTTCCTACTGCATCCAGTCCTGGTGCTAAGCTAAGCTAGCTGCCTGTTGGCTCCTGCTTCATGTTTACTGTACACACAGGGCAACGACAACAAGCATATTCCCAAAAATGTCATATCGTCTCAAGGCATTAAAATCCCCCTCCTGTTCAATCACCTGAGCTGTCAGTTTTCTTTGCATAGTAAGTATGGAGACATAAAGACGGTGACACGAAAATAGAGCCAGTAGAGAAAGAACTCGCGCACACAGAACCCCACGGGGGAAAACACCCGCTGTCCCTCGTCGTCCGCAATCTCGGTGTGCAACACTGTCCACGCTTGTCCCTCCTCTCGCGGTAATCTCGTCTCCCGGGTCAAAGGTCGCTGCCGTGTCTTGAAGTTTTCAACAGTCACTTGAACCTCCTGAGATCACTCCTGCAGGCTGCTGCTGAGGTGATGCGCGATGGTCCTCTGGTAGTCCTCGGAGGGGTTTGTGTGGTCTGTGACCTCCGGGTGCTCGTAGTTGCGGAAGTAGTGGCCTCCCATCTGCTGGGCGTAGTACAGGAGCTGCCTGGCAAACAATGGCTCCACCTGAGGGCCGGCAAGGTCACACGGGTCAGTTTGAACATTGTCCCCCATCAAAGGTTCCTCTGATCTGATACTCGTATTTGAAAAGTGAAACCATCGTTTGAGTGTTTGAAGATGCAATGTGCAGCATCTGACCAGATGCTGCACATGCACAGGATTAATAGCTTCATTTGTTTTTAATGAAATGGAAAGTCTTTTTTGGGAATATCTTCAAAACTAGTATTTTTGCTTGAAATGTCCGTCCCTACTCTAGACTTGGTCCATACAATCGGAATGTACACTCATCAGTTATTTAAGGAATTAAACTCACAGCGGGGAAAAATAATGTAAATGTGATTCAAACTTCTAAAAATACGATCATCATCATCATTCATACTCCTACTTCTTACTCTTCACGCGTGGCAGATTTGAGTATGTATACTATATTGTTATATAGTAACAACGCTTAAATCTGCATGATCATTATCATGCATCAGCATGTTTGTGGCCCAAAAGGATGCACTGTGTTTCTGATCTTCTCAGGTTGAAACCCATCATCCAAAATTAAAATAGCAGATTCTTTTAAAGCGCTGTTTAATAATCAGAATCGTTATTGTTGTTGTTTTTTTCGTCTTTCAATCACTGTAAAAAATGCCCAAACAAATGTGGGCTGTAACCGGGCCCAGTGCCGAATCCCCTCGAGACCGAAACTGAACGTCCGGTTTTGAAACTTTGCGACCATGAAGGTTCTTAAAGAATTACAGCTTTTAAACTTTAAGCTTTTTTCAAATCCTACGTTTCAAACCACAATTAAAAGGGGAAAAAATGACCAGCAGGAGATCGGTGTGTGCGTGGCGGCGCCATGAGGAGGCGGGGCTCGGGGGAACAGGACCAATAGATGTGTGTGTGGACAGTCACCTGCACGGTGAGCGTCCTTCTTTGTCTCTGCAGGTCCAGACACTCGTCTCCGAAGTTCAACAGGATCTGTAAACGCGGCGGCGGCCGGCCGTGGAGCCCGTAGCTCTGGATCTCTGAAAGTCAAGGGAATGGATGAGATCACTTCATCGTGAGCTGCGCGATGTGACGCGCACGCCGACGGGTGGGTTCAAATGACTTCAGGAGCATTTCTCTTGAAGTGGCGTGACCTTTGGGGTGATGCGAATGGAAAGTCCGGCTGACGCCGCGTAGGCAAATACGATTAGCTGTCAGACCTTCACACAGCTGGCTGAGCATGTGGGCGAGGGTTGATGTGGCTACGAAGCAGCAGTCGCGTGACTTTCTGCTTCGTCTTGAGATCTTTCTTTAAGGGGTTTGTCTTTCACGCTTGTTGTGGCTGAGACAAAGTGATACGGACCACCGGAGGGGGGGGGGTTGTTTCACGCGGGTGTTATCCAGCACGACTTACCGTAAATGAGCTGTTGCTGTTCCTCAAAGATGGAAACTACGCGTGACTAACTGTGAGTCTAGTCTTAGTGTTTACATACTGTTTTACCATTAAATAAAAGTCCCACGGCTACAGATCTGATATTACAGATTAACTTTGATTTCGAAGAACAACAATTTCCCCTTTTCTGGAGACTCATTAGCAAAATTATAGTTTTAGCCGCCTTCTTTTTACCGATAAAAAATGTAAAAAAGGGTGTTTCTTACGAAATTATTATACAAACGTTGTTGTTTTTCCAAAAGAATATGAGTCGCTTCCGCCTACAGGCTTCGCCTGCATTTGGCTGAAAAAAAACAACTAAACTTGTTATCTGAGACTACTTTCAGAACGGCGGTGGAGTCATACAGACTATAACCGGGTAATATAATCTACAGACATATACAGTCATCAGTTATTGATCATTCCTAAAAACTAACGTGCTTTTTAAAAGAAATCGATGTATGTTTGGACGTGCACGGTTTTATCGAAGATGTCTCCTTTTGGTTTTGGGGTTTAAAGGTTTTGAAGTCTCAGAAGCAAGTCTCCCGATGGCGTGACGATGAACCTTTGCTTGGCTCTCACCTGTCAGGTAGTCCTGTGTGTGGAGGAGTTTACAGGTGACCTCTCGCTCCAGTTTGTTGGGCTTGTCTCCGTACTGGGACAGCCCCCCCTGCCAGTACACCCGGCCCTGACACAGCCTCCGGGCGTAGAGGCCGTCCGGGCCCATCCACAGTAACACGCCCCTCTCCAGGGTGGACGGGGGACTCGGGGGACACTCCTCTGTCCTCCTCGGGGCCGAGAGGCTGTCCACGGGCAGGGGGACCACCTCGGGACCCCCGGGAGGCAGGTAGTGCTTCTCCTCTGGGGAGCAGGGGGTGATGTGGCAACCCTCCGGACTGGAGGTGGTCACCTCCCTCACCAGCGTGTCCCGGAGGTATACAGACACATGCAGGCGGAAGTCTGAGGGGAGGAGAAGAGGTCAAAGGTAAACGTCCCGGGAATCTTTCCTCATGGTTCTCATCTCATCTCGTCGATGTGAAACTGTCTATGTCAAATATTTAATATTTAATATAAGCTGGTCAAGAATTGTCTCCAATCCTTCAGACGTCCACTGTGATATTATGACTCCAAAATCTCCCAAACTAGATTTTTAAATGTTAAACGCACCCGCTGAAAGGGCTCCACTTAAATAGCCTCGAGCTATTAAGAGATGTTAATGCCGCTTAGAGTTTAAGCTGTAATGTGAGGTTGTAAAACCCTTTTTTTCACACCGTATCTAATTTGCCTGTTGCCCACTGGACCGCGAGGAGCGTTTCCCTCCGGCCAGCGGCAGGAAACCGTGAACTCAGCAAACTGACAGGGAAGAGGCATCAGCTGTGTGGGGCAACATTCAAATTACGTGGCTCCCTGCGTTTGAGGGAGGATTTATGTGGCGAGATTTGGCTTCAAACTACAACGTTAATGATGGTCCTCAATCTCCTCTGTGTTTTCTATCTCAGTGTTTTTTAGGGAAAGCAGTTTGACCGCCCCATCAACCACAAAAGCCCACTTTTAGTGCCGCCCCCCCCGTTTCATTGTGTTTTCTTTTTTTTATTGAGAGGTGACATAAGGGCGCTTACCTGACAGCGCCTCGGCTGATCTGATGCTGGCGTCCAGCGTGAAAGGCGAGGGCTGACTGTCAGCTGGGCCGTACGAGTAGATGGAGGCTCTGAGTTGATACCCTGCAAACACGGAGGAACCGAACAAGAGCTTCACACGAGCGCCGAAAGGAGTCGCTCGAGATGCAAAATGCTGGCGATGGCGCGCCGAGGGCCGTACCGTTCTCCAGGGACTGGCCCTGCCATGGCAGGCTGCGGGGGGGGCAGTGAGTGAAGGGCAGCTCGGGCAGGGAGGCCGGCTCCTGACAGAAATCCCTCCAGCCGCACTCCTGCGTGGGCCCGTACTGTGGTATCTGCAGACAGACGCACAGGCAATTAGCTCCACCTCACCGGATCGCGCTCCGGCTTCCATATTGAAGTTGTAGTTGTGATAATTTGATCATTTTGTTGCGCTTATTTTATTCTCAGGCCTGGAGTATGTGCAAAGTTGTGCAAAAAAAGAGTAATTTGACACTAATTTTTGACAAAGAGAAGTTGGAAAAAGTAGTACAGCTCTGGTCAACAACTTTAAAGTATTGTTGGGAGTTAAGAAGGACAAAAATATGATTGTGTTTCTATTCGGTTGATGATTCAGAATTATGGATGGTGAGATTACGTTTGAAAATACTGACAGAAGTATTCATATAATCTTGGGAATTTCCCTGCCATAAACAAACACCTGTTATTGACATGTTTTTTTTTTGTTTTTTTTAATGATTTGCATCACCAGAATCCCCAGAAGATTTAAACTAAAAAAGATACCAGCTTTCTTTCTGAGTGACGATGTTCTTGTTATTTCAGCATTTCCAACAACACACAGAGTCAGTGTCCGTTATGCCGATTTTTAACGCGTCATTTGCCTCTTCATTCGTGAATGCGAAGTTTATGCCCTCATCCACTGTTTCTATCGCACAGCCCTCAATCACCTGGGTCTGCAGTGCAGGATAGGGGGAGTGCACCTGGTAGCTGATTGGACTCAGAGGACTGTCCTCCTGTCTGGGTCCTGAAATGGAGACAGAAGAGACCAAATGTAAGCACAGGCACGGAACTCGACACGGCATGACCTTCACCTGTGGTTTGGCTGCTTAACTACTCAAAGATGTATTACTGTACTGATTGTTTCATTATGTCACGTGTTTGAGGTGGGACTGACTTTTCTTGGCCCCCTCGGGGATGATGCGGTACACTTTGTACGGGTCCGAGATGTCCAGCTGGCTTCGGTCCACAAGCTCCTCAAAGTCATTGCTCTTGTTGAGCGCGCAGCGGAGGCGAGTCTTCCAGGTCGGAGGGTCCGGCTTGTCGATCCCCTCCCGAAACTTGCCTTTAAACAGCGCCCAGGCCTGCAGACGGATCATCAGTATAACGTATTGGAAATATATATATACATACATGCTACATACATGCTACACAGTTTTTAGAAACAATAGGCATATATCGAAATTATTTTAAATAGCTAAAACAATTCATCAATAAGTTAAGGTGTCTACAAACAATTATAAGCAACATTTTCTGTGTCCAGATGAGAAGATATCCTGTTTTTCATATCAATAATGCTGCACTGCTTCGACTTTGGAATTAGAGTTCAGGAAAAACAAGCTTTTTAAAAGAAAGTCATATTTGAATTGGTTGTATTTTCTGACGTTCCATAGAACGATCAATAATGAAAATAACCATTGCAGCCCTCTTTATATTGCACTGTTTAAACACAAAGACATTGAATAGTGCTTAATATTAAAAACATTACATTACTTAGTATTACAACTGGCTTACATTCGTATGATTGGGAAACCCTATATCTAAAAAAAAAACGCCACAATAATGATAATAATTATAATATAACAAGTGTCATAGTCCACCTTGACATCATTTTGGCGACTATAAAAGCTTTGAGCTTTGAACTTTTCTTCTGAGTTTGCGCACTTTTATTCTGGAAACTCTTTGTATTGTCTGAGTATTTTACCTTGAAAAGCGCGGCATCCTCGTCGCGGTTGTAGTCCTGTTTCCCGGCGTGTTTCCACGGGATCCTGAAGATGCTCTTCTCGCCGTTCTCCCACACCAGACCGGGATATTTGCCGCAGTCCACCTGCTCGATGAGCCACTGGCGCAGCTTTCCGTTCCCGCTGCTCCCGGAGCCTCCGTAATCCACCTCCGCGTGCATCTCCGCGGGGACGCGCGCACGCGACCACTGCGCGGGGGGTTCGGCGCGTGCGAGTTGGGAGCAGAGAGGGACGCGTCGCTTCAGTGGAGCTCGGTCCGATAAGCCCGCGTGGACGGACTTGGTCGCGGAACAGCGTGTCGAGCGTGATGTTCACCTGTGGAGCGCGAGACGGAGTCAGGGAGCCCTCAGCACCCCGTGGGGGGGGGACGCTTAAATCCTCCGCCCTACAGCGAGAAGCGGGGGGGGGGGGGGGGCGGAGACACTGAGCTGAGGATGCTGAGGAGGACGCACCTGCTGTGTCTCTCTCTCTCTCTCTCTCTCTCTGTCTCTCTCTCTCTCTCTCTCCCCCCCCCCCCCCCCCCCCCCCGGGGAGGGGAAACCCTGCCGCCGTCAGTCGAAACGTGTCACACGCCCGCACACGTGGAAAATAATCATGGTACGAAGACGAAAACAATTCTTTGAAATGATAAAGCTTTACGAAAAGAAAAGAAGATTATTTCGAACATTTAAGTTGACGGGGAGCGCGGACAAGAAGGCTACAATCCTTCAGATTCAAATAAACTGTCCCATTTGTATTGATTACTACACAGATACAAATCCCCTAAAATAATGTTCACTTGATGAATTCAACTTGTTGATGTTTTATTCAATCAATGCTAATTCGCATGTGTACATTATTAAATCCCACAAACTTGCTTTTTACTTTAATCATTCTTATAATAGCATAGTTGAGAATCTCATTTAACCACAAACTCTATTTTACAATACAAAAGAAAAAATACATTAGGAATAAAACTGTGATTAGATTAAAAAAATATGCAGTTTTACTGCAAGACAGATGATTGCGTTGTTTGCACACTGTAAGAAAAGAGTCATTTCAAGAAGAAGACACATCATAACGTGAGTGAATGCTGCTAAATGTGCTCAAGCTGTGGACTGAATGTACATATTTCCTATGCATGTCCTCCTGCATGTCATGCTTGGCTGCCCTTGCATGTTGTTTTGACAGTTAGAGGACATGACATGACGAAGGGGACTAAGATGACAACATAAAAAAAATCCCCCCCCTCACACTCTCACACATGACTTTTTTTTTGCCGTTTCTGCAAACTTGATTTTAAGTTATCGTTTTGATACAGAGCGTTCGTCTTTTCTCTGCAGGTTTGCCAACGGCGGTCTGGTCCAGGTGGGTTCAATGTTCCGATAGAAGCCCGTCCCTCCCTCAGCTACTTCTTCCTTTAGGAGACATTGCTTCAGGTGCCCCCTGCACCGAGGGCAGGAGAGATGCTGGTCGTTATGGTACCATTGCTGCTGCTGCTGCTGCTGGATTTCTGGGTTAAAAGGTTCTTCACCTCCTCATCATCGTTGATCGAGTTCTTCCCGTACCGGTCCTTCCACCAGGCCCGATACTGGGGGGGGGGGGGCAGAACAAGCGCAAGAGTGAGTCAGATGACTACACGACCGCTGAGGCCGAATCGAAGTGATGGAGGGAGACAAGACAGACAAATCCAACCTGAGCTCAGAGGTGTTACACAGACAGACACTGTGTATACGTGCACACGCACGTATACACAGTGACATCACTGGCGGGAGAGGGGTTTGGGTGCAACCGTTCACACATCTGACCACAGCCAACTGGTTTTGATCAGAAGTGTGTGTGGAGTTGGTCCCTGTCAGAATTGACGCGGTCTGTTGACAGCGGTGACAGCGCAGTGCCCCCCCCCCATATCCGGCTCTCTAAAGTCCCACGTTTTAAGTGGTGACCGCCGGAGCCTGAGGGCGGTTCACCCCCTCCCTTCCCCCCTGTTGCTGGTTTGCACCTTCTTTGTTAATTAACGTCAAAAGGCCAACTTAAACTAAATCTCTAAGTACGCAAACTAAAGTGGTAGCAGACTGAGACTCAACTGGGGGGGAGGGCGTTGAAACGCCATAAATTGCTCTTTTAGCAGCTGCTCCGTCGGTAGACGCCAAGAGGGAAACCAACTTGACATCGTCAGGTGAAGTTGCCTTATAAAGGAGGACGGTCAACAACGTCGTCCAACACAGTCATACTGACTTCCACATCAAGTCCGATTTGTGGTCGCGTTATTTTCTGTCAGTCCCTCCATTTGAATCCCACTCAGTAACGGCGGACCCCGCCAGTAACAACTCGAGCGGACACACGGGGAGGTCATTAGGGAGATGCCTTCGATGGCTACCGCTAAAAGTGTGTGTGTGTGTGTGTGTAGCGTTAGTGATGCTAAAGCGGGGGTGTCGCTCACTTCTGTCAGTTCTGTGTTTTCAAACTCCTCCAGCTGCCGGAGGAAGCCCAGGTTGGGCCCCGCGCACGGCCGAGCCGCCCTCACCGCCGCCAGAGCCTCCACCCAGCCGCGGCCCGTCACCGTCATGATGTAGGCCACCACCAGAGTCACGCTGCGGGACACGCCTGCCACACTGAGAGCACAGCGCCGCGTCACAACGGGCTGCCGGTTGTTTCAAACCAACACATATTCGGATCTCTTTTACGCTGTAACCTGAGCATTCGGGTGGATGTTTGTGTTTGTCTTGCTTGGTTGAAAGCTTTAAGCAGAATTTGTTTTTCTCGTTTGCTGTGTTTGGATGTGGTTCAAAATGAAAATTGGTATTGTAAAGTATGAAGGTCTGCAAATAATACACATCTTAAGGCAATTAATGATACATCTTGATATTTGTGCTGCTTTGTTTCATCATACTCACATGCAAATGTAACCGGTTTTGTGTCGTTAATAAATGTAAAGTGAAAAAAATGTTTAAATGGAGCTACGGTTGTAAGAATGTTATTATGTTATTCAGTGCAGTTAAAACAAGACATATGGTTTTTACTAAAAAGATGGAAATTCTCGGAGTGTTTTTTGATGATACAAATAGAAGATTTAGAACGTATGTACAGAAATCACTCACCAGTGGACGAGGCATCCGTCTCCTTTCATCCGGGACTCGTGGATAAACATGATGCTGTCTCTGAAGTACTGAACCCTTGTGGAAATGTGATATCAAACCACCGAGAATTAATTTATCTATTAATCACTTGATTCAATTGTTTTCTTCATTCTGCACTTTTATTTCCCTAAAATAATGAATAAAACAACCTGCCCTCCAACCATAAGACACCAAACGGTTTGACTTAGTCTTTTGGTGTACGGTGCTTTAATGAGTTGAAGAGCGGTTCTGTGCAGATTTACTTCCATGAATCAAAAGATTTGGGTGAAGTTAATACAAACACTCACTTATATGAAAACGCAAATAAGGCTCTTACTGGACTTTTATTTTCATGCAACATCATTTAGCTGGTATACAACCATCTAATATTGTACAACTTTCAAACATTGAACCTCACGTTGCTGAATATATTGAATATCCAGTAAGTACTCACAGGTTTTGCTTAGAGTGGTCAGCAGCAGATATACACAAGTACGTCATGTCCTACGGGGGGGAAAAGGGCAGAAGTGTTCTTCTTTCTGCGGACACACTTGCTCAACCATTTAATCTAAAACATACACACACAGGGTTTCCTGTCAGATCATCTGTTTGATCCCCGGGTCTCCGAAAACTTTGACCCCGCTGGCATGGCAGGTCAAGACATAGTGATACGGTCGCCTGTGTGAGTGTGCGTGCGTATTAATGTGTGTGTTTTTGTCCCTCTGAGCACCTGGCAGCTGATGGTACATGCTGCACACAGAAACTACCTTGTCCCGCTATGACTGCGCCGCTGCAAAAACCCCTTGGCCCTCTGGGACACAGCGCGCTCTGGACAGGTTCACTCGCACACGTACGCCAAGCACAGTCTTATGCAGTAATCATTCACACACACACACACACACACACACACACACACACATGCTTAAACACTAACGGACATGCATTGATTGGAGGAACATGCAACTCTCACGTATGTGAAGTTGTATTTTTGGACAGAGAAGGTCAGGTTACGCTAAGACATGCTGACAAGTCCGCTACTTTGCATCATCGACAAACCCACAAAGGTAGGAAGCATGAGTGCGCTCCAAAATGACGTGCATTCAAGTTCATTTTCTTAACACAGATTTTGCTCAATAAAACTGACCATCCGTGTACTTTTTCTTACGCTTATTAGAGCCTCATGGTGAACCACAAGGAGCACGTTCCACCTTTAAAAGTCGGTGGTTGAAAGTTCTAACTTCTTTTATCAAGAACCATCATTTTTCCAAGAAATCAATCAGTCAGCAGTTTGACTGTTAGGTATGCAAATGCACGGTCCCATCTGGTCAAACCGACCTGAGTCATCACGCCACAGAGCTCAAAAAGCTGTGTCATATATGTGAATGTGGTAAACAATCCTCCAATCAAGACTAAACATCTGCACAGCAGCTGTGATCAAAGAGCAGCTGAACGAAGGCTCAGCGAGTCTGACATGATTTCAGGTCCAAAGTCGTGGAAAGGTTTTGGTGGTTGACCAGTTATGGTAGCGATACTGTTACACAATTTGCTGTTTCTCTTCAGAGTTCAATGAAAGATACGAGCATTGCTGGAGAAAGTGTACACTTCTCATGCTCGCTTTCAACAAGAAAAGAGGAAAGTTGTGAAAGCAGACAACAATGACCAAGATTTTTGAGAAACGATTTGTTTGCGGACCGGGAGAGTTCATCCCGGTTCATTGCAATACGATAAAATAAAACGAGTCCTCGGCTAATATTCTTAACATGGTCTCTAATTTCAACTTCATTTCTCATAGGACAGATTTAGCAATTGAAATAACATTTACGTTTACATCGATTACATAATTGAAACCAGTAAAAGCACATTTACTTTCACAGTAAGTCGCCTCTTGCTCTCTCTCACACTCACTCAGGTATGCACAGCAAAAATACATTTCTGTCCCTTTCATGCAGAAATCGCATCGTCTCAATGCAGCTGTGAAAAGCAAGGAACCTTTTCTTTTTTACGTAGTTCCACTTTCAAGACTTGATGAACTAGGAGCGGCTAAAAGCACCACGTGTGAAAAATGTCTCCCAGTTGAATGGCTTTATGGGAGAACTACTGCTTATTTGTGAAACCTGGTGGATTCCAGGTCATCTGACAGGCTCATGATGAAAGGACTTTCCATGCAAAACTGTAAATAAGAGCATGTGCCCTGCACACTAAATGAAGGTCTATTTCAAAGGCCTTTGACAAAAATCTGACTTTTGTATTTTACTTTGAACCGTTTGTTCTCTCATTTCAATACACAGCTAAAATGGCCTCATGTAACAAATGGATTGGGTGATAAGAGGGGTACAAGGAAGAGGAGAGCTGAAATATGATAAATGATCAATTATTTGAGTCAACTTTCAAATATACAGTACTGAAAATCAACTGGTTGCAGCTTCTCAAATATGGGAAGTCACCTCAGGCTTTGGGGAAGTTGGACAGAATTGTTTCCCTATTCTTTTCAGACCAAGCAAATAATAATCAGTTATTTGGACAAATCAAAAGACAAATGAATATATAACAAAATAAAATGATAGCTGCCGCAAACAACGAAAACATTCCGTCTGAAAAAGACAGAGTGGCACCACAGGTCCGCTGAGGTTGCGGCGCTGAGCTCAGGGGAGGTTGTGTATTTGATGGCTGGATTAATGTGGGGTCCGACGGGCCGACATGAGACTCGGGGAGGACGGCTCACCTCCAGGATGGGGGCAGCTGTGTCGTGGATGGACAGGATGTGGGTGATGTTGTGCTGCGCCAGCAGCTGCCCGTCTCGCGCATCTACGGATTGCAAAGAAAAGCAATCATCTCAACCCGTCCGTCCATCCAATCAAACCCCCCCCCCCCCCATGTAGGGCCCAGACTAAATTAAGCATTTTTGCCCAACGACAATAACCCCCTCTCTCCAAAACGAATGGAGCCTAAAGATTTTGCTCCGGTTTTGAACTGAAAGAAAAACCGGAAAACCAATGTTTCTAAAACAGTCCAACAGCTTGGCCCAGAAGCAAGAAACAGTAATTGGTCTAATCAAATTTGTTCTTTAAAAGGAAGCCAGATGTTTTCTACCTTCTTGAGCACATTTATCTCACGCTTTGCAAGTTTGCAGGATGCTGACTCCACCTATACCAGACCAAGGTGAGCCTGAACTGAACCCTCTTCAAATGAATTTAACATGAGAGTTTGTTCATACTGCAAAGCATCAACTGATACAATGGATGGCTTGAAAATAGATGAACATCTGAGTGAATGAATCCTAAATATAGCTGCATTGGAAACACAATCTGATTATGTAACTCAACCTGTACGCCAGTGACTTGAAGGTGATAAAAAAAAGTCCACGAGTATGTTTACGCGGTCATGAGATAGCTTCAATATTTTAATGGGGTATCTTGGTGCCAACACCTGCCCCCCCCATACTGAGCACAGATCAGTGACACTATACCCTAAACGGCCAAATCACAACCTCTGCTTGTTGTACAACAGTCTGATTATTATCATGTACCATTATTTAGGTTTTCCTATAGCTGATATCGTATCCATTTTGGTAAACCAACATCTTGCCAATGCAACGGCATTACGAGTAGTGAGACAGTAGCTAAAGCCATAAACCATTACGTGGAATAAAAACAAGTTTACGCTGAACTGCTGTTACCTCTTAACTCCTGTTAAAGCTAATGCAACTAGCTTAGCATGGTAGCAGGTAACTTCTATCACAGCTTTGAACGCAAAATAGAATTTTGTCCGGTTAAGAAAACTTAAAATCACATAATTAAATCTTTGAATAAATTTGGTCCGTTTATTTTCATGACCAAAGAACTTAAAAAAAAAAAGTAGCCTACAAGAAAGCTGAGATGGAACATTTTCTTAAGCTGCACTTTTCCCCTCATTCTCTGAAGGGTTTAACGATCCAATTGTTAAATGGCTGTGATTTACTAAGGTATCACTTTATCACCGTAAGCCTTTGTTTGACTTTATTTGTCAAACTCGCTCCCACTTGCCGTTCGTTGTATGACGGTGTTTGCTTATTCCGCGAAATTTTTGAGTCAAAGAAGATCAAAAGCCGGAATAAAAGGTGTCCAATTTCCTTTAGAACGTTTGTTCCGTCATGTTTACAAAAAGTAATACATCATTTTTCCATCATTAAACGTGAGCACAGATTTTTGATGCATTTGCTGCTGTACGGAAAGAGTTGGAATACAGTTCGCAACAGGGACGCCCCCACTCGGCGGGGCATCCCCTCCCACACCAACCCCAACGCTCCGAGCAACCCTCAAAATAAGTTATTTCCCCAAGCCGGTTACACACCAACCTCTGCACACACACACTCACCGGCAAATACGCAGTGTAACCGGGGGTTTTTCACACCAAAATACACTACTTCAATCGCTCTGTTCTACTCTGTGACCTCTCCACTCTATAGAAACTGAGCTCAGCGTAGCATCTCACCACATGCCCCTCCGTATGAGGAACTGAAACACACTCTGCCATGTTATCCTGAAAACAAAATTAATTCTTCACGCAAATGGCAAAGCCAGGACATCTCACCTTTGATATTTCCGAGATACAGATGAGGCAGGACCTGAAGACGGTTAGAAACGGAGTCAAAGGAGGGAAGAAGAGGCTGTGAAAGTACAAGCATGCGCCATGGTCATCACAGGCAGTTTTGGGGTTTGGAGATTTACTACTGTACCTTATTTATCCCATTACCCATGTCAGCCTGTTTCTTTTCTCCGGGTTTTTTAAAGTTGTGTGTCAGCTGGTGCTCCAGAAGTGTGTAGCTGCGCTGCTGAAGCTCGCTCACTGGTCGTTACTGCATCCCGTCATTTGGGTATCATAAAGCCTTCGACGCGCCCACAGCTTGCGCTCCCAGGGCTTCTGTATTGGGAACGTACTGCTCGAGATTACGAAATGTGACCTTAGCTGCTTGTTTATATTTAGGCCTAGAGTTGGGTCACGGGAATGCGGATAGCCACATGCCAGAAAGACAAAGATGGTTGAGGGCCAGAGGGCAGAAGAACAGTGGGTCAAGACCGGCTATCCCTCTCTGCTAAGGAGATACCGTAAAAGGAGCACCTCCTCTTGATGCTCAAAATACATGCCTCTTGCAATAAATCACAATTTAAATAATGTTTTCAAGGTATGTATGACAGGCTAGTTGTCTTTGAACTACAAATCTGCCCATTTAGCTTAAATACACTTTTTAATGGTGTCCTGCATGAACACAAAACTCCTTAAAAGTACAAAACAGTTTTTGTCCTTCCACATAGAATTGTTCTGTATTTAAAATGGTCTCTGTGCTGTTCTTGCTGTTTGCTTGGAAAGTGGTTGAATAGATACAAAAAGAATTTAGCAATATATCTGTGAAAATGCAATGATAGTTATAGAGATGTTTGCTTAGGCCGCAAAACTTTTTTTAGCTACATGATAATAATGATGATTAATAAACAATGCTCTTTCTAAGGTGTATGTTTTACACATTTAGCAGTAAACAATTTTATTTGAGATAAACTTCTGATTTGAGTCTAAAACAAAAGTTTCAACCCCCTGGTCAGGGGGTCAGGGGGTCAACCAAGTCAGTATAGGGTTCATCCTGCGGGGACTAAGAATGTCTGCGCCGAATATCATTGAAATCCATCTAGCACGCTAACATTGATGGTAGGTTGGCTTCAAAACTAAGCTGCAAATCCTGACATCTAATGTATCAGTTGTTTATTTCACAAGAATAGTTTTTCTTTCAGAAGCGAGAAATCACCCATTCATTTTTAGTGTTGTCTTGGTTCTCATTGGACATCCAGTTGCATCAGTCACTTCGTTTCCAGTAAACTCTGCTTCATCTTCAACACACGGCTCTGCGCCGATCACGGTATTTTTAGCCCGGCCGTGTCGCCTGTGTGTCGTGTTCCTGTGTGTCGTGTTCCTGTGTGCGGTTCAGTGTGTGGCACAGCTCAGACGCCGTGACAGGCAGAGGAGAGTGGAGGCGTTTACAAAAAGCCTGCTGCCTGCCTCAGAGAAATAGGCCTCTACAGCTCATCTAGCAGCGGGTCAACCCCATTCATAAACACACACATCACACAGAAAGAAACCTGGGGGGGGAGTGGGTATGTGTTAAAGGAGGTGATATGTCGACGATCCTATTTGTCTCTTTCGAGAAGTTACTTTCAAGATGGATGTCGGTTTGTTTGTTTCTAACCCGGCCAGCAGAGGAGTTATGATTTATGCAACAGAACACTGTGAAACCCTTACTCAGCATTTCTGCAACTTAATTATCTTAATTCGTGACTCAATCTGAGGAACATTATCTCGATTTGTTGAGTAATAGGTTATTTTATTGAAAAGAATGGCCTATGCGATGTGACAGAGATCAAAGTAATGTGTTTCAACCGCAGAATATTAACACAGAAAGGCAAATCCTCGCAATCGAGAACCTGAAACCAGAGAGCTTTTGGGTATTTTGGAAATGTGCGTTGTTGCTCCAACACTTTGGTCTGCACTGAATCCCTGACCTTGCTTTAAGTGCCCCCCATTAAATAGAAATTTAAGTTTTTTATTATAATGTCTATAGCACCTCGAAGCTTGGTTCAGACGTTGCTGGTGCTCAGATGATAATCCCACTGAGAGTTAGTGACTTTGAATGGTTTCCCTTATCCTGGGGTTTTCTCAACATCCACATGATAAATTATTAAATATTTTCTTACAGATATTTACAGTTCGCAGAGGATTCTTTCACGTCGTCTGAGGTTCAGTTGTGTTTTTAGTGGGACGAATCAACAGCTGAACTGCTGTGAAATGCCCACATCCACTTCCCATAAGAATGAACTGTATTCATATTTTTGTGTGTGCTTTGTTTTGATGCTAATCAATAACTGGGCTCACTGTAACACACTGAACTTCACGACTTTCATTGGTCTTTGGGTAATTTGTTTTAAATATGACTTTGAACTGTGTTTCAGGAGTCTGTTTGGAAAACGATGCTTCGTCACACGTGTCAGTTATTTAACGACTGTCTCTCGCTGTCTCCACTTATTAGGAAATGACAGAAATATGTGCCAGCGTGTCGAATATGAGACTCAATAAATGAAAGTTGTTTGTGAATGTTTGTCTTTCGGTTCGTTTTCGTACTTTCGCTCTAAATGTTGTGTCAATAAAACGAGGCGGAAAGTGCCAAACGGACTTCCGGTTTGGCAAAAATGACGTCAGTCAGACACAAGTTTAGTTGAATCTTTAACCGCCCGCAACGGAAGACCGAGGAATGGCGTTGTTTGTACTCCGAGGACGTTTCTTTAGCTGCAGAAGCGACGTGAGGAGAGTCACGACCGCCGCGCAGCGGAACCGGTAACTTCCGCCCGCCCGCCCGCCGCTCCTCTGCTCGTTAACCGGCCTGACGAGCCGCGGCGCTGCAGAGGACGAGCAGGAAAAGCCCGTCCGGCTGTCTGCGGCGTGCTCGTCCAGTTTCCCTCAAGGGTTGTTCGATTTATTGCCGCTAGGTGGCGTGTAGTGCATGTGACATATTTGCATTAACAGTTCTACCATGTTAGATTGTATATTTACATTTAAAGGGGAATAACAATCCGTTCATTGAAATTGAGCCCCATTATTAAGTAGTCAAGTGAACCATTGAGACTGAACGCATATTGCTAAAAAAAAGAGTATATCTACAAATCCTAAAGTAATATAATATAAATTGGACAGGTACATTTTTTCCAGCGTTAAAATTGTTGTTGCAATGTTTACTCACTCAATGTCTACTTACTAAGTAGATTTGATCCCCTTATGAACAAAGATTAGTGGAAGCCAAATGGCTAATGGATCTTATCAAAATACCTGCACAAGTGAGTACACAGAACTTCCTCTCAGAAGCTTTTTCCCTTGTGCGATATCTAAGAAAAGTCACTGCTGCTTCCTGCTGTCAGAGGCCCCTCATCACAGCGTGACTCGTGTTTAGCAGCAAGTCTTCAATGACCTGCAGGTGCAAACTGAGAAACAAGGTCAAAACGCTTTGACGTTGACAGAAGGCCGAGGCCACATAGCTGGCGCACAACCTACTTATAAAACACAAGAACAACACCGCTCTGTCATACGTCATGTTGCTGTAGTTTCTCATATTTGGTTTCGCTTTGACTGTAAAATAAAGCCAGTGTTTTCCACTTCAACGACTTCATCGGCTAACGGTGTGCCTTGTCTGCTTCCCCACAGCTCTTCGGTGGCCTCAGGCAAGCAGCGTGTTAATGGAGTGGATCTGTACTACGAGCAGACCGGCACAGGGAAACACGCTGTGCTGTTGCTTCCTGGTGCCCTTGGTAAAAACAACAACAACAACAACAACAACATGCCTCTTCTTAGGCCTTCTCACACTAACACGCTCTCTGCCTCGTGTCCTTGACGCGTGCGTCCTCTTCTCCCGCAGGCTGCACTAAAACTGACTTTGGACCTCAGCTCAAGTCTCTTAACAAGGAGCGCCATACGGTGGTGGGATGGGATCCCCGTGGTTACGGGCGATCGCGCCCCCCGGATAGAGACTTCCCCTCGGACTTCTTTGAGAGGGACGCCAAGGACGCGGTGGATCTGATGAAGGTCCGATCCATCAGCCGTGTGGGGGGTGTCGTTGTGAATCGCATGCTTTACTGAGAGTAACATGGGTGTGTGGATGTGAGAGCGTGTGTTGTAAACTCAATGGAGGGAAACTTTTAAGCAAGTTAAGAACAAAAGTGTGGAGGGAAAACGTTTGAAATAAATATATAATGAAGTTCTAAATTGTCCCACCAGTTAAATCAACTGGTTTCATAATAATAAGGAAGATACTGTATTTCCTTTATGATGCACTTAATGGATTTGAACAAAAAAGGTCACAGCATGTTACTGTGGCAAGAAAGCAAAAATGACACCTTAAAATGTACAATACCTCCTTTGATCTGTACTTGGTTCATCTCTGAGTGGCTGCTGTAAACGGGAGGCTCCCACACTGTGCTTAACAATAATAATCCTGACAGTTTATTAATCCATGCTGTCAGTGGATCAAGCAGCCAAATGTTAACAGCAGTTTTTTTAAACCCTGTATTACCTTGTATTCAATTCACTACCTTCCAAATATGTGCTTTATTCCCCCAATTGTATGAGGAGAACAAAGCTAACACGGACTCTGTTAGGGACGTATACTACAGCTCATTTTATTGCCAGGCGCTGGGATTTGGCAAGTTCTCTCTGCTGGGGTGGAGCGACGGAGGAATCACCGCTATGATCGCGGCGGCGAAGAACCCCGACGTCATCAGCAAGATGGTTGTATGGGGAGCCAATGCCTTTGTTTCCCAGCAGGACCTGGAGCTCTACAATGGTAATCTGCCAGTGTAATCCCAACACCGTGTGAACTGTGCCCGGTTTAGTCATTCATATCTTTGTGCAATGTGCGTCCACGCAGCGGTCCGGGACGTCTCCAAGTGGAGCGCGAAGATGAGGAAGCCCATGGAGGAGGTGTACGGAGCAGAAGCCTTCGCTAAAACCTGGGAGGCCTGGGGGGACGGGATCGCCCAGTTTGCAAAAAGACCTGAAGGTACGGACCACGTGTGGTTTCCCAATCAGCACGCGGGTGAAGTTAAAAGTGAAAATACATTCAGATATTATCAAGGAAGCTGTGGTATTGATGCTTGTAAAAGGTTGATAATGTGTAACAACTGTAGGTTTGCAGTAGCGGATGAATTTAGGATTGAGGATATTTAGATATTTTCTTCCTTTAACACGAGAAACCAGTGGCGAATACATTTCAGATGCTCCTCCGGTTTGGTATGTTCAAGTAGATTTCAGACGGAAAAGACAAAAGCCAAAATGCTAAGATAAAACGTCCTCCCGTCAGGGAGTATCTGCCTGGAGCTGCTGCCGCTAATCCGCTGTCCAACCCTCGTCATTCATGGAGAGAAAGACCCCATGGTGCCCAGCTTCCACCCACAGCACCTCCTCAAACACATACAGGGATCACGGTAAGACCTGCCACACACACACACACACACACACACACACACACACACACACACACACGTGTGCGTGCGCACAGATGTTTAAGCATCAACAATATGAGAAATACCTGAATTTCAGTGAAAAGAAAATGTGATGTGTATAGCCTTTTTTTTTCTGTCCCAAATCTAGATTACACCTGATGCCAGAGGGTAGACACAATATCCACCTGAGGTACGCTGATGAATTCAACCAACTGGTGGAAAACTTTCTGGAACACACTTCAGAAAATCCAAAATAATGCCTGATTCTTTTGTGCACAAGGATCAGAGAGAATACAATTAATTGCGTTCAGACGCTTAGTTTAAAAATGTCTAAACTTTACTCAATTGTTATATACCCCTTTAAGAGAGAGAGAAGTTATTTGTCAAGTAAATTACTTGCTGCTCTCATCATGCATCTTGATATTTGTTGTAATTGTGGCTAATAAAACCTTGAAAAACAAAGATTAATTCAAGGCTTAACTATACAGCTGAAGTTAAGATGTTGTGAATTTTGTTAATTAATGAAGTCAGTTACATTACAAGACTTAATTTGAACAATGTCTCTCTGGAAATGAATTAATTGGCTTAAATAGACTTGGTTATGTTCCATTCATTAAATAGTTATCTCAGTTAATTTGATTTACGTTAATTGCTTTGCAGATTCAGAATATCATCAGAAAATTAGTAATTAGTAAGTAATTAGTAAATCTATAATTATATAATTATAGATTAAGGTACCCAACAGTATATTTGCTCTACATTTTTTGGCTGCAACTGAAATTTAAGTAAATATAATCCAATTATAAATATTAATGTAAAACAGGCCTTTGCGCCTATTTAGATGTTTGGTCAAGTTTGAGGCTGATACCTGATACCTACTTGTACTTTTATTTAACATTTTGAACATATGAATTTTACTTGAAAGTGTTTCTGCAATATGTACCCGACACTCCGCCACATGCCGGGTTCACCTCCAGACCAATCTTTGTCTGCTTACTTCTAAAACTGGACTGTGTCTCTGTTGCATCTTACTGTCAGTGGAGTAATTGTTTTAAATGTCCTGCCCCAATTTGAGGTACGGTAACTCTTAATTGTATTTTATTTGAAATCTAATAGTAATTTATTTGCAGTTGTGTGTGATTCCTTTGATTGATTGGTGGACTACTAAAAGGAAATACATGTAGGGAAGAAGTTGACAATGCTATCTTCGCATTAACGCTTTAACAAATGCATTTGGTATTCACTTTTTGTTGACTAGTTGGGGCAGTTCAACCCTGTAAGAAGTGGATGCTTCTACATTGTAATCAGTGTACATATGATCTGTCTTAAAGGTCCAAAGAAACCTGACAAAAGTCAAATCTTTGGTGCACTCCACACTATAACATTTTCTTTAACCCAGGTTAAGGAAAATGATTTTTGATTAGCCCCACAGGAATATGGTTGAATACATTTTTGCAATAATTGATTACCCAGTATTACAAATAAAACCACTGTGGGGAAAAAATATTTCAGCAGAAATATAAAAAAAGGCCACCGTGTCAAAATAATCATAATAAATATTGGTCAGTAAGGCCACAAAATATTAAAAAAATGTCACTCTGGATGAGGGGCCGGCTTTTGGGTTGGATTCATTACCCAATATTTTAAAAAATGTATGTATTTCCAATTTTTAAATAACTTCATTGTGTAGAGATAACAAGAGAAAAAGAGTTTACGATAACAGAATTTATTTTATGAGGCAAATGAAAAACTTTAAACATATTTAGAATTATTCCTTCTTCTTCAGCCTGAAACGTCCGTCTCCTTCTTGATTTCCGAGAAGATGCAATAAGGTTGACTTCCTCTCTCATCTGTCCCAGGAGTGAGACAAAAGCCTGGAGGGGTCTCGTCCTGTGGAACACAAACACAAGTGATGAGAACTTTTGAGCTCAAATACACAACCTTTACATTGTTGAGTTGGATCCGGCCTCCAACGATTGAACTTTAGTCTTAGTGAGGGATTACTTACTTCGCCCAATGAAAGAAGGGCGCCAGCCGCTCTTAAGTCGTCCATCCTTCTCATCTGGTCCTGCAGTCCTCCATCATTCTCATCTGGTCCTGTAATTGGCTTATCTTGTCCGTCGTTAAGGGGATCCTGGATAAGCGTTGTCTGGTTCAGTCCCCTTCACCTTAGGGTTCTTAACTATAAGGACTATAGAGACTTTCTGGAAACTTCAGATTTGGTATGCATGTTATTATACTTACCTTTGTCTGGTGAAGACATCTAAACGACATGAAGGAAAATACAACACAGAATAACAACCATACCCTGTAAACCTACCTCTGGTCTCTGCATATAGCATCAACTATTAATCAAAATTAAAATTAATAAAGAAGAGGTATGTAAAAACTCTGCTGCAAGATGCAACCTGCTGTCTGTCTGGGACTTTATCAGTCCTGACCAGACTCAAAGGTTTCACATCCTGCAGCGAGCTGAATGTCGCTCTCGATCCAAATCGCTGCTCTCAGCCCACTGACAGTATCTTCTGTGTGTGGGGGGGCCGAGGCCTGAATTAGAGGGAGGAAACAACAGGTACTCATCTGCTCGGATGAGTGTCACTCTCAATCCGAGTCGCTGTCTGGAGCCCACTTCATTGAGAAGGGGCTGAGGCCTGAGGTGGAGGGTTCTGCCTCCAGGTAGTCCTCTTTCCAGGTCATCTGGAGGAGGGGCCAAGGCCTGAGGTAGAAGGGGCTGTGTCCACGTCGTCCTCCTCACTGTTCCTCTGCCTTTTCACTGACCCCGTCCCTTGTCATCCTCTGGCCTGCTTGGTGGACACTCACTGTTCCTCTGTCTTTTCAAACTTACCTGCCACGGGTCGCAAACTTAAAATCTATAAAGAAGATTCATGTAAAAACTCTGCTGCAAGATGCTACCAATAGCCAACTTCGCTAAACACGAGGGAATGCTGTCGGGGGCTTTTTCAGTCCTGACCAGACAAACAAAGGTTTTACATCGTGCAGCAAGCAGAATGTCACTCTCAATCCGAGTCGCTGTCTGGAGCCCACTTCATTGAGAAGGGGCTGAGGCCTGAAGTTGAGGGAGGAAACCACTTAGTCCTTTGCTCGGCTCTTTTTTGAGGAGAAAACCAGGCCTGGTGGAGGGTGCTGCCTCCCTGTAGTCCTCTTCTCCGGTCCTCTAAGTGGAGGAGGGGTGTGTTCCTCCTCATCGTTTCTCTGCCTTCTTCATACTTACCGGCCTCTTGTCACTCTCAATCCGAGTCGCTGTCTGGAGCCCACTGCCAGTATCTTCTGTGTGTGGGGAGGGTGAGGCCTGAAGTGGAGGGTGCTGAGTCCCTGTAGTCCTCTTCCCTGGTCCTCTTGGTGGAGGAGGGGCCGAGGCCTGAAGTGGAGGGTGCTGAGTTCCTGTAGTCCTCTTCTCTGGTCCTCTTGGTGGAGGAGGGGCCGAGGCCTGAAGTGGAGGGTGCTGAGTCCCTGTAGTCCTCTTCCCTGGTCCTCTTGGTGGAAGAGAGGCCGAGGCCTGAAGTGGAGGGTGCTGAGTTCCTGTAGTCCTCTTCCCTGGTCCTCTTGGTGGAGGAGGGGCCGAGGCCTGAAGTGGAGGGTGCTGAGTCCCTGTAGTCCTCTTCCCTGGTCCTCTTGGTGGAAAAGGCGCCGAGGCCTGAAGTGGAGGGTGCTGAGTCCCTGTAGTCCTCTTCCCTGGTCCTCTTGGTGGAGGAGGGGCCTTGACCTGAAGTACAAGGGGCTGTGTCCACGTGGTCCTCCTCACCGATCCTCTGCCTCTTCACACTTACCTGCCCTGTGTCGTCCTCTTGCCTGCTCCTCTTGGTGGACACTCCTGACATCTGAGGGACGGGGGTTGACGCATCTTCAGGACACTCCACGTGAGAAGAAGGTTGGGGCAGCAAGAAAGGGCCATCTTCATTTTCCTCTTCTTCCTCCCAGTCTATTCCTTCCACCTCGTCGTCAAACATCAAGGAGTCGTATCCAGAATCGTCGCTCTCCCATTCGAACTCGTCCTCCTCCTCCTCCTCCATGTCCCGTAACATCCTGTCCGCCTCCAGAGCATAGTACGCCAAATCCCTCCCGAAGTCCAAATGGTACGCCATCTCTTCATAGTCCTCCTCCTCTTCCTCCTCTTCCTCCTCTTCCTCCTCGTTAGGAGAGGGCAGGAGAACCAACACACCTTCACCCACGGGATCATCGGAGGCCAGGGGGAGAAACAGCACTTGTTGCAACTCCGTCGTGAAGCTCTGAGGTGGCTGTGTGAAAGGGTCATCTTCATCTTCCTCCTCTTCTTCCTCCTCGTCAGAAAACGCCCAGGGAAGCAGCTTATCTTCACCCACAGAATCCGGGCGTTCCACATCAGAGGCCAGGGGGAGAGACAGCACTCGTCGCAACTCCGTCATGAAGCTCTGAGGTGGCCACCTCTGGGTGAGAGGGTCCTCTTCATCTTCTTCCTCCTCTTCCTCCTCGTCCATCCCTTCCAGCTCCTCTTCATACAACCTGGAGTTGTAGCTGGATCCGTCGCTCTTCCAGTCGGACACCTCGCCCTCCTCTTCTTCCTCCTCCTCGTCAGAAAACGCCCAGGGAAGCAACTTATCTTCACCCACAGAATCCGGGCGTTCCACATCAGAGGCCAGGGGGAGAGACAGCACTCGTCGCAACTCCGTCATGAAGCTCTGAGGTGGCCACCTCTGGGTGAGAGGGTCCTCTTCATCTTCTTCCTCCTCCTCTTCTTCGTGGTAGCTAGATCCGTAGCTCTCCCAGTCGGACTTGTCGTCTTCCTCCTCCATGTCTTCCTCCTCTTCCTCCTCTTCTTTTTCCTCTTCCTCTTCCTCGTCAAAGAAGGCCTGGGGAAGAAACTCACCTTCACCCACAACATAAAGCTCACCTACCTCTACCTCATCAGAGGGGTTGCAGATGGGGAGAACACCGGGGTTGTCCCCGAGGATCCTGCAGTCTTCAGCGGGACGCTCCATGACTCAGCCAACACCAGCTTTGAAGGAAACATTAAAGCTGTCAGGATCTCTCATTACATGAAATAGTTCTGGATTACATAATCAATAATCAAATATTTCATTTGTAAAGTCGACAGCTGATCACCACAGAAACTATGACTGCACGACACAAGGAGTCACCAACACACATGAAGCATGTCCTTTGAACCGTAACATGAAACAGCTCTGCCTCTGTCAAGCTGAACAGATAACACATGGCAAACCAACTATAACAATAATAATACAACAATTAATGTAAATAATATCCTGTTGTGGTTTTATGTGGCAAAAAAAAATGCGGTAGGGTTTCTAATATAAAAAAGCTTCTAATCAGCGGGTCAACTGAGCCACTGTTGGAGCTCTGGACAGAGACGTGGATTCTGCATGTGTGTCATTACTTTGCAATAAAAAGCGTGGACCTGTTTGATGTGCATTGAACTAGTGAGTCAGTGAAACACGGCGGCATCGATCCAACATAACCACTTGATCTTCTTTAATGTCTCTTTATTCTACCAGACAGTGTATGAGTTGCACATCGCAGCGCGTGAGGAGGTGCAGCACGCGCACATCGCGCAATACCAGAGACGTGGTGTGTGCAGCGTGCAACAATACATTCATAGAAGTTTCAACCATCGTGACGTCGCCTCTCAGCCGTCGCTATCGAATCATCATTCGGATCACTATTTAAACGTTCTATGAATACGTTCTCAGCGCCATCTTTTTTCACAAATTTCAATGTTAAACTTCGACGATTTGATACCCTAAAACCAAAATAATAGTGTTTTAAAAGCTCTACACTAATTGTTGACACATTCCGCAGATGTCCCGCGACATTTAACTGACCCCGCGCCGCAAATAATCCTCCTACAGGGAGAAATCATCGACTGAGTGTCTTTGTCCACCAAATCACACTTCTTTCACCGTTAAACTCAATGTATCGTACTCATTTGTAAGCTGGGACCCTTCTAAGGGCGTAAGGGGGTCAGAAAGTTGTCTTACTTGCGCACCGGAGGTCCCAATCACAGCCGACGTCCTCCAGCAGGTGCTCGTCCGCGATGCTCAGCCGCCTGAGGGCCTTTTTCAGCCTCTTCTGTGCTCCACAAGAGTTGTTATCTAGTAGTTCACTTCTCCAACAAGATTCGTATCGATAGATTTCGTCCAGCAGTTAAAAACTCAAAGAGTTCGCTTTCAACAGTTTGATTTCACAAGAGGTTTAAAGTTCGTGTTCAAGTCAAAGTGCAAATGGAACGATCAGAAAGTCTGCTGACCTTAAGTAACCTCGGGCGGGTCATCGCTCCGTTGCCAAGGCACTTAAGAACGCGCGTGCGTGCCTGTTTGTGCTCTCGTTTTTATTAAATAGATCTCGTTTTTTAATTGATTACGGTATTATTTATGTTCTTTTTAGCGATTCATGCCCATTCAATACAGTTTACTTGTGAACATCTTTTTCTACAACTCTCCAAAAAAGCGGGATATGTATTTAATTTAATAATTGAAATAACAGGTCTTAAGTTGAGCTAGAAGATCAATGTGAGAGTTTACGGTGAGATTTAGATGATGAGTTGGGAATTAATAAACCACCAGAAATTAAACTGTTTACTTAAAGGTGTATTTAAAGGAAATGTTATAAACTTATAAAATGTAAACTTTGGAGTGACATCACAACGTTTACACTATGTTTAAAATCATTCAATCTGAACTATATTTATGTGGATATCATAAATCCGAAGTATCCGTGTTTCGCTAAAAACACGGTTTTTCGGATGCAACATAGTCAGAGGTTCAAAGTAAGATTGTTTTTAGGTTGGACTGTTTTGTGATTGACTTCATTTTGGTCAAATTCATGATTCATCAAACGGTTTCAGCTTTAAAGTATTTCTGTATCACATGAATAATAATATTATAATAAACGTCGTGCGTTGCCATTTAAATACATGTGATCTAACACCCTCAGAGGTGAAATGATCAGAGCAATTAAAGCGGATTTCTTGAAGCCTTTTGATGGAATACAAACGCGATCGAGTTTTTTTTGTGTTTTTCATGAGCTCTGGTTTTAGGTTTGTTATTGCAGATATTCTGCATTAGTGTGTCAGTGAGGTGAAGAACTACAGCACTGCTTCAACATGTTTAGGAAAGGATTCTAAATTGAGATGAATGTGTCACCTCCATTCAGCTGCCAACGAAGAAAAAAATGTATACAAGTATTTATCATAATTCAACCTCCACATTGAGAGACAAAATCACGGTATTTAAACCCCACGTTTAGGACTGTTACGTCCGGTCCATAAGGGAATAAGGTGTTGGCACAACAACTTATTAAGACAACGTAATAATACAACTTAATAAGTTGTTGGCACCCCCTCTCTCCCTCTCTCCCCGCACGCGCACAGACATTTTGGGGGGCAGGTGCTCAAAATCCCCAAACAAAAGGACACCCATCGCCAAAATTATTCATGAAATTAAAAATAATATTGATAAATAAATAAACAGACAGAGTTGAAGCATAAGCAGCATTACATTAATAATATACCACAATACACCTCACCAGACCGTCATGTAGCTCAACTTAAGACCTGTGATTTCAATAATTAAAATAATTAAATTAAATTATAACGACACTTTAAGCCTGATTTCAGTTGTTGACTTCCTCCTGTAATGAGACATCTCGTCTTAGAATAACGGCAGAAGAAGAGGAGAATATTTAAAGTAGATGAACATGTGTCCTACATGGAACATTTTGATTAAAACATGAATGTTTCTAAGAAATGAAGTCAGGCAACTGAAAGCACAAACTAATCCAATAAAACAAATTCAAGCCCCGAGTTCAACAAGATATGTGAGCGATCAGAAAAATGTGTGTCAACTGCTCCCAAAATAACAAAATCCTAAATATTCTAATAGGCTAATTTACTCGCTCCAACGTTAATGGTAACTTGATCTCAACCGTCTCTAGTGACTAAAATCAGCCAACGAATCAGAGGGTTTGTTATTGAACGCTGTAACACATCTAGTTGTCTTTTTCTATATATTATGGTATAATACTAAATACTAAATTCATGTATTAATTAATATGTTTTACTGTTGAGGCAGCATGAAGTTAAATAGTTAGTCACCATACAACTAAAAATGATTATATAGTGATAAACTAACGTAATTTACACGTCTAACTACTGCAGAAAGTAGACTCGGTCGTGCGACGCTGGGGCGACGTAGAAAGAAAGAGCTTTTATTGCACTATTTGGAGGTGGATGCAGGAAATCTTATTGTGAAAGGACAGAATTGGGTTCCCGGATATGTTAACAGCGTTTTTGATCATTTTGACGACCTTCTAACCACATTTATATGTAAATTAAATATATATGTGACTTTTTGTGTTTGCATTTGCAATTATTGAGACTGATCGGACTCCATAGATTAATGGCGACAATATGAATTTATTGAAGTGTTTCAATCACCACACTGTAGTTTCATGGCGTAAACCAGTCGCAACGATAAGGTCGTACTAATCCTGTTCGTGTGGCCCACCTGGGATTTGGGAGCGGTTTTCTCATCGTGTATCTCATCATAAACGTTTTCCCGGCTCTGACCAGCTGTTTCGGTGTTGCCGTGGACGCGCACGTTCACTTGTGCGTCCTGACGATCGATTGCTTTGGGCTGCCGCTCTCGCGTCACCAGGAAGCAGCGGTAGCCCTTTCTGTTTGTAGCTCGCGCCTTCGCTTTAACGTTAACCGTGGCCGGTAGATGCGCACTTGCACGGGGATGAGCGACGCACGCAACGGAGAGGCGTCTGCGGCCATTACGGTGCACAATTTCTCGGAGAGGATTTTGGAGCAGGTGATACACTTCCACGTGATGAAGCTCAGCGGCGGGTTCTTCCTCTGGGTCGGTTCCAGTCCGGTTCTGTCCAACCTCGCGGTGTCGATGGGCAGCAGATACGTGAGGACACGAGTTACACGTTCAAAGGGGTTTTGCTTCTTTTCTTTTATTGCCTCTTCATACTTGTACGCTACGCGTTTAAACCACGGGCTGTTGATCTGCTACACTTTATTTCGGGGAACAACTTTACTAATTGACGTTTTAACGATACTGAGAGCTTGTAGAACGGGATGTTTCTGTCCTAAAGCTGCTGACGTTATCCATCATTTCACGCCACGCGTAAACATCAGACGTGATCAGTCGATTAACCAGTTACCTCACAATGTAAATAATCATTGCACAGTAGTTATAAACTAGTAAATAAATGATCTGCTGCTTTAGTGCACGAGTAATGATGTAATGTGTAATGTGACAGTGTGTCTACAATTCCCCTCAATTGTGTATTTATACATTTTATAAAAATACCTTTTAGAAACTGTTTTAGCTCACGCATTAGTAAATATAAGACTTGTTTTCATCTCTCTAACTTTATTGAGACTTTTTTTCGTTGATGCACAGTCCGATGAGGCTGACAACGAGAATACACGACGTTGAGGAACTGGCACACTTCACTGCTGTTTATTTCAATTGTTATTTCTATACTCATTGACAGATTGTAGTGTGTTGTTTATTGCTCATCGATGGCTTAGTGTCCTCTGACTACAACACAAACCGGAGACAACTGAACTGTTGTCCATCGGGAGTCACTAGGGGTAAAAACAGGGTTCAGGATCTGTTGCCTTCACTTCTATTATTATATAGATATATTAAGAAAGTCAGAATTTTGGATGTGAGACAGTTCATTATTTTTTTTCCCCCTGAAAAGACACTAACTGCAGGTGTACACATTGTTTTGTTTTTCTTGTCTGCAGGATTCGATGCCATTATCTACATTAGTCATGGGGGACCCATCCAATACCGCTGCTAATTCTATGGCACAGAGATTAGGTAATCATGCATGACGTATAACGTTTTTAGTTACTAAAACGTTGGAGCACTTTTTTTCAGATGTAATGTGGTTTGATTTTCTGTATCTTTAAATAGGTTATTTGTATGTTTGAGCTCATTTGAGAAACCCTGAACCGTAAAATGCTAATAATTCTCAAAATGCTGCGCGGATGTTTTGAATTCATGAGTCAGTTAGACATTCATTTGATTTATATTATTTATTTTTTTAAACTCACTTTTTATTTTGTTTTCAACAACATGACAACATGCATTTTCAGGCAGTTACTTTCTTTGTCCATTTTACAGTTGTATGTAGTCTTGTTACACATGATATTCAGGTGCTATGTACATTTAATTTATATCATGGATTTGAATTATTAACTAAGTTCTTCACCGGTCGCATGTCAATTCATCTTTTCAAGTAGATCTTCAACCCTCGCATCATTTCATTAAATGTGTGATAAACACACAGACGTGTTGTGGCAAGCTTTCTACAGTGTTTGTCATTCTAAAAAGGCTTTTAAAAATAATTCCTTTCAGATCTCCACAAACCTCTTAGTCTGACTCTAGTGTAATTGTGTTGTAAAGCAAACAATTCATTTTACAATCCAAACTAAACGGGAGGTAACGGTCTGTGTCTGTCTGTCTTGCAGCAAAGAAGACCAAAAAGCAAGTGTTTGTGAGTTACAGTCTTCCGAGGACGGACTCCAACCTCAGTCTTTCGGTGGAGCAGAGGATCAAGAAGGAGGTGGAGCTTCACCCTGAACACTTTTGATCACATTCGATTATTTACTCCTGTTTTGTGTAGAGCTGAGGATAAGATGGGAAGAGGGGTAGAAGTAGCGTTTCTTCCATTTGGAACTCCTGCAGACACTGTCGTGGTACAACAAGAATCACCACAAACTGTCACATCAAGTGTTCTTTTATTGACACAATAAATTAAGTGGTTTATTATCAAAACATGTAGGCCTATGGCTTTTTGTACAAATGCGTCATATTAAAAAAATACCATTAAGAAAACCGCATTAGTGGTTGAGTTTTTTTTCACTGTTGAAAACATACAAACTAGTAAACGGTACAGGGTGTTCAAAATACGTGCTGTGTACTACACATGAATATTGTCTATATGAATGAAAATTGGTTTATCCATTCAAAGATCTTGTATCCTATAAAAGTAAAGTTGATGGTCCCTACATTATGAATGGTACATGTATCCATACATTACATTTGTATGCAGTCCTAAAGGATACTTATCTAGTAAAGTGTATTATTGTACACCGATCACATCTAGGCCAGGTCTGTGCAGGCTGCGCTGCTCTATTCTAATCTTCACAAACGCTTATTTAAAAAAACTGTAAAATATTGTGCTTTCTGGCTATAGTTACACATCCTCGGAGCAGGATCACAACATTACCACAGTACAGAGAACAAGGAGTGGGAATATCTGCTAATTAGAAGGTATTTCAAGCAACAAAACTGCCCTTGGGAGCAGGAGAAAATAAATACTGGTTACCTTGAATTGAAATCCTCTGTTCCTTTAAAAATTTTAAAAAAAAAGAGTAACAGAGCCATCATGATAAAGCCATTGAAATGCTGAGAAGCGTCATAAGACATACGGTTGCACACTCGACTGGTAAACTCTCATGTCCGTTCAACTCTCAGGTTTTATTCAGCGCCACTCGCCCGTCTCTACGAGCTGCACGTGGAATCTGCCAAAGGTCTCCGGCTGTTGGTCCCATCCGACAACCATCATACACCAATATAGCGGTAATGCTTTCTTGTGTCTACACTGACCTCGTCTGTGAGGAGAAAGTGCGACAACAGACTTCTAGCAGAGGAACAACAAATACCAAATAAAAAAAAGGAAACATGTCAAACCATTTGTGCCCTTTCATGCAAAAGAGAGTGTTAGTGGTTTAGCCAAATCCCTGGTGCTCCAACAAGTCGGCTGAACATCACAAACACTTGATTGTGTCTCTGACATTTAGTGCAAAATAACTTCTAAAGAATTACAAGATGCAGTGAAATTTTCTCCCTCAAACGAGTCAAAACCCGCAAACGGAAACGTCCCCCGAGCGGACGTTACTCTGAGGGTCCGCTCCGCTTTGCCCGCTTCTTCTACCTGTCGATCCTTCTCGGACGGCAGTGCAACAAACTCCCCAAACAACACTTTCAAATTATTTAACGCACACTGACTTCAGATGGACTTGCTCAAGAACAATATTTTTTCTTTTGGCAACTCCTGAATGAATCATAGTCACAACAACGTGGCGCCCCCGGTGGTCGTGAGGTGCAACGGCGTGTCGTGGACGCGGGCGTAGTCCCCGTCGGTCTTGGCCAGTAGGAGGTGCTGTTCCCCCGGATGCAGCAGCGTCTGTCGGGTGAAGCTCTCTCCGTCGGCCAGGCTCTCGGGTAAAGGCTGGCCCCGCGGCTCGGGCAGCAGCAGCAGGCAGATGATGCACAGCAGGGTGCAGCAGGCGAAGATCACGTGGTGCAGGAAGTAGCCCTTCTGGTTGTGGAGAACCCTTTTTTTTGTGTCTGAAATCTAGATTACACCTGATGCCAGAGGGTAGACACAATATCCACCTGAGGTACGCTGATGAATTCAACCAACTGGTGGAAAACTTTCTGGAACACACTTCAGAAAATCCAAAATAATGCCTGATTCTTTTGTGCACAAGGATCAGAGAGAATACAATTAATTGCGTTCAGACGCTTAGTTTAAAAATGTCTAAACTTTACTCAATTGTTATATACCCCTTTAAGAGAGAGAGAAGTTATTTGTCAAGTAAATTACTTGCTGCTCTCATCATGCATCTTGATATTTGTTGTAATTGTGGCTAATAAAACCTTGAAAAACAAAGATTAATTCAAGGCTTAACTATACAGCTGAAGTTAAGATGTTGTGAATTTTGTTAATTAATGAAGTCAGTTACATTACAAGACTTAATTTGAACAATGTCTCTCTGGAAATGAATTAATTGGCTTAAATAGACTTGGTTATGTTCCATTCATTAAATAGTTATCTCAGTTAATTTGATTTACGTTAATTGCTTTGCAGATTCAGAATATCATCAGAAAATTAGTAATTAGTAAGTAATTAGTAAATCTATAATTATATAATTATAGATTAAGGTACCCAACAGTATATTTGCTCTACATTTTTTGGCTGCAACTGAAATTTAAGTAAATATAATCCAATTATAAATATTAATGTAAAACAGGCCTTTGCGCCTATTTAGATGTTTGGTCAAGTTTGAGGCTGATACCTGATACCTACTTGTACTTTTATTTAACATTTTGAACATATGAATTTTACTTGAAAGTGTTTCTGCAATATGTACCCGACACTCCGCCACATGCCGGGTTCACCTCCAGACCAATCTTTGTCTGCTTACTTCTAAAACTGGACTGTGTCTCTGTTGCATCTTACTGTCAGTGGAGTAATTGTTTTAAATGTCCTGCCCCAATTTGAGGTACGGTAACTCTTAATTGTATTTTATTTGAAATCTAATAGTAATTTATTTGCAGTTGTGTGTGATTCCTTTGATTGATTGGTGGACTACTAAAAGGAAATACATGTAGGGAAGAAGTTGACAATGCTATCTTCGCATTAACGCTTTAACAAATGCATTTGGTATTAACTTTTTGTTGACTAGTTGGGGCAGTTCAACCCTGTAAGAAGTGGATGCTTCTACATTGTAATCAGTGTACATATGATCTGTCTTAAAGGTCCAAAGAAACCTGACAAAAGTCAAATCTTTGGTGCACTCCACACTATAACATTTTCTTTAACCCAGGTTAAGGAAAATGATTTTTGATTAGCCCCACAGGAATATGGTTGAATACATTTTTGCAATAATTGATTACCCATTATTACAAATAAAACCACTGTGGGGAAAAAATATTTCAGCAGAAATATAAAAAAAGGCCACCATGTCAAAATAATCATAATAAATATTGGTCAGTAAGGCAACAAAATATAAAAAAAATGTCATTACTTTGGATGAGGGGCCGGCTTTTGGGTTGGATTCATTACCCAATATTTTAAAAAATGTAGGTATTTCCAATTTTTAAATAACTTCATTGTGTAGAGATAACAAGAGAAAAAGAGTTTACGATAACAGAATTTATTTTATGAGGCAAATGAAAAACTTTAAACATATTTAGAATTATTCCTTCTTCTTCAGCCTGAAACGTCCGTCTCCTTCTTGATTTCTGAGAAGATGCAATAAGGTTGACTTCCTCTCTCATCTGTCCCAGGAGTGAGACCAAAGCCTGGAGGGGTCTCGTCCTGTGGAACACAAACACAAGTGATGAGAACTTTTGAGCTCAAATACACGACCTTTACATTGTTGAGTTGGATCCGGCCTCCAACGATTGAACTTTAGTCTTAGTGAGGGATTACTTACTTCGCCCAATGAAAGAAGGGCGCCAGCCGCTCTCAAGTCGTCCATCCTTCTCATCTGGTCCTGCAGTCCTCCATCATTCTCGTCTGGTCCTGCAGTCCTCCATCCTTCTCATCTGGTCCTGTAATTGGCTTATCTTGTCCGTCGTTAAGGGGATCCTGGATAAGCGTTGTCTGGTTCAGTCCCCTTCACCTTAGGGTTCTTAACTATAAGGACTATAGAGACTTTCTGGAAACTTCAGGTTTGGTATGCATGTTATTATACTTACCTTTGTCTGGTGAAGACATCTAAACGACATGAAGGAAAATACAACACAGAATAACAACCATACCCTGTAAACCTACCTCTGGTCTCTGCATATAGCATCAACTATTAATCAAAATTAAAATTAATAAAGAAGAGGTATGTAAAAACTCTGCTGCAAGATGCAACCTGCTGTCTGTCTGGGACTTTATCAGTCCTGACCAGACTCAAAGGTTTCACATCCTGCAGCGAGCTGAATGTCGCTCTCGATCCAAATCGCTGCTCTCAGCCCACTGACAGTATCTTCTGTGTGTGGGGGGGCCGAGGCCTGAATTAGAGGGAGGAAACAACAGGTACTCATCTGCTCGGATGAGTGTCACTCTCAATCCGAGTCGCTGTCTGGAGCCCACTTCATTGAGAAGGGGCTGAGGCCTGAGGTGGAGGGTTCTGCCTCCAGGTAGTCCTCTTTCCAGGTCATCTGGAGGAGGGGCCAAGGCCTGAGGTAGAAGGGACTGTGTCCACGTCGCCCTCCTCACTGTTCCTCTTCCTTTTCACTGAGCCCGTCCCTTGTCATCCTCTGGCCTGCTTGGTGGACACTCACTGTTCCTCTGTCTTTTCAAACTTACCTGCCATGGGTCGCAAACTCAAAATCCATAAAGAAGATTCATGTAAAAACTCTGCTGCAAGATGCTACCAATAGCCAACTTCGCTAAACACGAGGGAATGCTGTCTGGGGCTTTTTCAGACCTGACCAGACAAACAAAGGTTTTACATCGTGCAGCAAGCAGAATGTCACTGTCAATCCGAGTCGCTGTCTGGAGCCCACTTCATTGAGAAGGGGCTGAGGCCTGAGGTGGAGGGTTCTGCCTCCAGGTAGTCCTCTTTCCAGGTCATCTGGAGGAGGGGCCAAGGCCTGAGGTAGAAGGGGCTGTGTCCACGTCGCCCTCCTCACTGTTCCTCGGCCTTTTCACTGACCCCGTCCCTTGTCATCCTCTGGCCTGCTTGGTGGACACTCACTGTTCCTCTGTCTTTTCAAACTTACCTGCCATGGGTTGCAAACTCAAAATCCATAAAGAAGATTCATGTAAAAACTCTGCTGCAAGATGCTACCAATAGCCAACTTCGCTAAACACGAGGGAATGCTGTCTGGGGCTTTTTTAGTCCTGACCAGACAAACAAAGGTTTTACATCCTGCAGCAAGCAGAATGTCGCTGTCAATCGAAGTCAGTATATTGGGGGGGCTGAGGCCTGAAGTTGAGGGAGGAAACCACTTAGTCCTTTGCTCGGCTCTTTTTTGAGGAGAAAACCAGGCCTGGTGGAGGGTGCTGCCTCCCTGTAGTCCTCTTCTCCGGTCCTCTAAGTGGAGGAGGGGTGTGTTCCTCCTCATCGTTTCTCTGCCTTCTTCATACTTACCGGCCTCTTGTCACTCTCAATCCGAGTCGCTGTCTGGAGCCCACTGCCAGTATCTTCTGTGTGTGGGGAGGGTGA